AGAAGTTCTCCCTGGGGATGGGCTCCAGCACGAATCCGAAAGCTGGGGAGACCAAACCTCTGGTCCCGGTGACCGACCCAGATGGGATCCTGCAAGCCTGAAGCTTCTCGGGGTCTGCGGCCCCAGGCCTCCTTCTGCACGATGGCAAGAAGGTGGCACTGGTGCAGGTTTGAAGGAGAGGCCCTTACAAGGTGGCCCAGGGCCTCCCCTTCCCCAGGTGGCATTCCCTTCTCCTCCTCTCGCCCCTCCAGTTCCCCGCGGCCTTCTTCAAGGGGAGGGTGAACATGTGCTCTGCCTTCTGCTATGAGGTCCTGAAGTGCTGCACATCCAAGCTCAGCTCCACGCGGAGCGAGGCCTCTGCCCTCCTCTACCTCCTCATGAGGAACAACTTTGAGTTCACCAAGCGGAAGACCTTCTTAAGGACTCACCTCCAGGTCAGTAAAAGAGGAAGAAAACAAGTTGGCCTTGCACAATCACAAGACCTTTGCTGGCTCTCTTGGCAGTTGTTTCTTCACAATCTCCTTCCTCACTCTGAGAGGGTGAGGAAAGGGGCGCGTAGAAGTATTTCTCCCTTTTTGTCCCTAAGCCTTTACCTTAAAGATTTAATAAATATCACATCAGACCAGCTTGATGGATAGCAGGCTATTTCAAGAGATGCTGGATGTGTTACCTCCAGCTTCCTGGGAAATACGCACCTTGAGGTAACGTGAGGAAGGTTGAAATAGTGAGGAGGAAGAAAAGCAGAAGGACTCATTTGTTTCTTGATCTCTGCATTGTCTGTATTTCACTTTGATCCCCTGCTTGACCCCAGAAGCCGTAGGTCAGCCTTACCTGGTGGACCAGACAGGAAACTTGACCAGATGAGCTAATTCTACCTTCTTATACGGCTAAGTAACAGAATCTTGCCAGTCTGAAAGAACATGACCTCCTCCTGTCTCCTATATAGCCTGAGAAACTAGGGAGGGTCCCTTCTGAGTCTTTTCCCCACCCGTTGTGCAGCTGTGGGCCAGGCTGTCTCTTTTACCTGACCATTCTCTAGGCAGCATCTCCCAAGGTCATTCTCACATGCCGTTTCAATGCAGGACAAGACTCCAGGGCTGAAGTTGGTCCTCTGAACCCAGTTTGCAGCCTTTTTAAAAGCTGTAAAGCAGGCCCATGGCCTTCCCCCGCCCCCCCACTTTTGGTGGGAAAACACACCAGAATGCATTTTACCTTTTGAAATAAGCAAGAGGGGAAATTGGACAATCTTGTCTCTATTCCTGTGGTGTCTATGATCTCACCAAAATTGCATCCTCTTGAGAAACGTGGCTCCTTTTTTGAAAACATCTTCCATGATGTCCTAGATCTGAGAATTCATCCTGGTGTTTCTCCAGAGTTGAGGGCTGTGTTGGTTGCCATGTTTCGTGCCTTCCTTGGTTGACACATTTGTGATTTGTGGGCAAGAAAACTGGTGGCTTGGATCACCAAGGAAATGTCATGGGTCCATGGGAATTTCCATCTCTTGTCTGGGACCAAATTTAACTGCCTGTGTTTGGGGGGTGCTTACTAAATGCAAGTTCAGCCCAGAACAGCGACTCACGCAGAGACATTCACAAGTAAGTGGATGTGGAATCAAAACCCAGTCAGATCATCTGATTTCCATGGGAGGCTGTTCGTAGGGTGATGCAATTAGTAGACAAGTTGTAGTGGACAAATATTTAGGTTCCCAGGAGGTTTGATATCCGAAGTCATTACTGTATGGGTCAACTGGGATTCTCTGGCATTCCAGAATACAGCTTGTCACTTCCCTAACTTTGAAAAATGTCTCTGTTTCTCTGCTAGATCATTATTGCGGTGAGCCAGCAGGTAGCCGATGTCGCGCTCAGTGGCAGCTCACGCTTCCAGGAATCGCTCTCAATTATCAATAACTTTGCCAACAGCGACCGGCCGGTGAAGGTGGGCTTGGTTTAGTGGAGGAAGATTTCACATGGGGGAAGGAGAGAAGCCCACCCAGCCAGGGCTCACGGGGAAGAGTCCCCGGGCCTCCTCTTCACCGAGTGGTCCCTCCTCTGCAGTTCAGTTGGAGAAGGGAGATGGGAGAAAGGGTCCCTTTCAGAGGGGTGTCCTCTTCTGTGGCAGGCGACCACGTTCCCTTCCGAAGTCAAAGATCTGACCAAGAGGATCCGCACGGTGCTAATGGCCACTGCGCAGATGAAAGAACACGAGAAGGACCCCGAAATGCTGGTTGACCTGCACTTCAGCTTGGCCAAGTCTTACGCCAGCACTCCGGAGCTGCGGAAGACCTGGCTGGACAGCATGGCCAAGATCCACGTCAAAAATGGGGACTTCTCAGAGGTAATGAGCTTGGCCAACGCCAGGCGCTTTGACCACGTCCGGGAAGTGCCGAGGGCCTGGCGTTCACCTTTGCTCTCGTCTCACAGGCAGCCATGTGCTACGTTCACGTTGCAGCTTTGGTGGCAGAGTTCCTTCACAGAAAAAGTGAGTGTTTGATGTGGGGAAGGCCCGGGGGGGATGGGGGGGCAGAGAACTCATTTTGAAAGTCTTCCTTCCTGTTCTGCAAATCTGCTCTGATGGGAAATGTCTCGTTTTCGCTCCTGAAAGCAGAGATGGTGCTTTGGCAGTCTGGTGTGACAATCCTTCAGGGCTTCTTAAAGGCTCTGGGTAGCTGGCCAAAAAAGTCAGTCCATTTCTGTGCTTCTGGCGCTCTTGGCAGCCCCGAGCAGGGGCACAGTTGGTCCTTGGCTCACAACTGCTACTGAGGCCAAAATTGCAACCAGATGGTCGTTAAGCGAGTTGGTCGTTAAGTACATGCCAAGCATCCAAATTTTGATCACATGACCATGGGATGCTGCTCTGTGTGTGTGAAAAACATTCATAAGTCACTTTTTTCAGTGCTGTTGTAACTTTGAAGGACCCCTAAAGAAATGGTGGTAAGTTTGAAGACAACCTTTATATGGAAAACCTGGTAAGAGCTCAACCTCAACAACAAAAGCCGAGTCAAGGCTCTCATAAAATAGCCTCCCGCCCAGCAGGGCTCCCAAGAACTTTCTCCCCAGATGAACCAGGAAGAAGAGGCTGGGCAAGTCCCTTCCCGGACTCTCTCCCTCTCAGCCTGGGAAGAATTGCTGAAGCTCCCATTGTCGGCGATTCTGCTGGCTTTTGTGTTGAGTTGATATGTATTCCTCTGCAGGGGGCTCCCCCCCCAAATAAACGTGTTGGGTGACCTGGAAGCAGCAACTTAGGCAGAGTGTTTAGGAAATAATTTAACTGCATCAATTAATTTATCTGCAGAGAGCAGCATGAAAGCAGAAGAAAACTGGCAGTCTTTTCTTGGCAAAAGTTCTTCAGAGGTTCCTCAACAACCAGAATTCCCAGTCCATGTGGTCACTGGCTGAATGGGAATACTGGGAGTTACAATTCTGATACATTTGCGGGGGGGGGGGGGAGTGTCACAGGTTAAGCCTTAAGGACAGAAGGAGCAAGAGAAACCGGTGAAATGTGAATGTGCTACAAGATTTATTAGGCTATTCCAGTTGCTTGCTTGGGACTTCTGTTTTGGGAGTGTTGTTTATATCTTTTGCATCTTTTATTTTTTAAAACCAAGAAGTAGAATTTGTTGGTATCAGCTGACCTGGCCAAACTTGTCATAGATTTGAACTAAAAAAAGGAACTAAGTCCTGCTGTGGTTTGTGGCTGGTTGCTGTGCTGCGTTCAGATGGACTTCCAAGGGTAGTTTAATCTGACAGCAAATTTCTGATGGCGGATAAAAATGCTTCAACCAACTTCTTAGAAAGTCAGAGCCTGGTTTCGTTTCAACAGAGCTTAATTTTGTTCAGAGAAACCCAGATTTTCACCCTCCGATCATCCTTCATTTTTTATGCATTTGTTTTCCTTCCTTCCTACCTTCCTACAAGCTTTCCGATAAGCTGAACTCTGATTGCATCAAATCATCGGGTTGTATCCAATCATTAGCCTGGGATTCTTGAACAGCAGGGTTTTTTCTCAGGAAGCGGGGATCCTGAACTGGGGTGTCAACCTGAGGCAAGACTGGCTGCTTATCAGCTGGAGATAATCTCCGTGGAAGTTCAGCAGATGGAGATGAATTTTACACTCAGGTTGATGTTCTCCTCCTTCCTTCTCCTTTCCACCTTTTCTGCTTCTACAGACACTCGTCCGAGCCTCAGGCTGTCCTCTTTTCCACCTCAAAAATATAAGCATGCTACAGTTCCCACAAAAGGGGAACCTACTTGCTGAAATTCAAAAGGCAGAGTTGCTCAGCCAAAGCTTAGCCCACCCCTCAGTTGAGGTACCGCCTGCCCATGGTGTTAGAATCTGGTCTCCAAAACCTTAGGCTGAAGCCTACTTCTTGTTTTAGGTCCTGTTTTCCATTTTAAGAAGGGCTAGAACTCAGTTTTGGAATGTAAAATCCTTGCTGTGGATTCTGTCCCAAGGAATAAGGTGACGGACATGAAGGGGTCCAACCTGTCAGGAATGAAAAATGAAAGCAAGTGGCCCTTTCAACCTCCCACTGATCTCCAAGGCCGCCTTCTCTCTTTCTTGCCTCCGGTCTGTAGAGTTATTCCCTACCGGATGCTCATCTTTCAGGAAAATTACACCCAACATTGACGAAGAAGGTGCGATGAAGGAAGATGCCGGGATGATGGATGTCCATTACACTGAGGTAAGGGAAGCTCCTGAAGGGCCAGATGTCGGAAGCCTGACCTTGGAGAGTGGAAGTCTACCAAACCATGTCAGGGCTCCGAAAATGGAAAGCTACTTCTTGATTTCCTTTAAGACAGGAAATATCAAGTGTTTTTTTAATTGGCTTTTGCTTGAGGTCTTCTGCATCTCTCCAGACTCATTATTCAAGTCAAGGCCTGACTTCCTTGAGTGCTTTCCCATTGTGATAAGCTGCACTGAGCAGCTGGGAAAGCCCTGCACCAGGACTTTAGTAGGTAAACAAATATGGTGAAATGGCTCAACTGGCCTAACCGGTTTTTCTTTTGCAAGCTCATGGATTGCCCAGCCAGGGCAGCCCAGCCCAGCTGCTTGGTGGGTCCCAAGGCTGTTCAGGTGGTCCAAAGAGGAGATAAAAGGGCCAAGAGTTACTTTTATAGATCCTGAAGGGGTGGGCTCTCCACTACCCTTCCTTCCCTCCCTCCCTCCCTCCCTCTCTCCCTCTCTCCCTCCTTCCTTATCTTTTTCCTTCCTTCCTTCCTTCCTCCCTCCCTCCCTCCCTTCCCAACACCTGCAACTGCTTCTCACATGTGCTCTTTCACTGTTTCAGGCAGCCTTCTGCCCCTTTGGCACCCATGATTGGGACTCCAGCCCTCAGAATTCCCAGCTAGTGTAGCCAAAGGAGGGTGGGAATGCTGGGAGCTGTAGTCAGAGTGGCTCAGGGCAAGGTGTCAGATGGAGAAAGTTGGATTCTCTAAACCTTTGCAGCTTTGATCTCACTTGCTGTAAAGGAAAGTAGACCAGATTTTGCAGAAGGCGTGAATATGACCTTAAGGGTGGACTTGAAGATGAAGTTGGAGACAGAGGGGAGTGTGGGAAAGAAACTGCACACAACCACACCTCTATTTTGTTTGGTGTAACACGGGACAGAGAGAAACGGGGACAGACTTTCAAGAGTCTTTTATTCTCTGTCACTGCAACAAGGAGCTTTCTGGACTGCCTGCCACGTCTTGTTCTTGTCCTGTCCCAGAAGTTACTCAACGACTCAGATCATCAAAACATGTTTTGCTTGCAACCCACTTCAGCCGGATCATCTGGGCTTAGAGTCTTCCGCTCTCTAGCTGGGTGCCTCGACCACAAGACCCAACTGGCTCTCTCGTGATCCACTGTTTTCTTGTGCAACTCACAGGAGGTGCTGGTGGAGTTGCTGGAGCAGTGTGTCGAAGGCTTGTGGAAAGCCGAGAGATACGAGGTCATCGCCGAGGTCGCCAAGATGATCATCCCCATCTACGAGAAGCGGCGCGAGTTTGAGGTAGCCAATTGAAAGCTGGCACAAGCATTTCTGCCGCATCCTGCAGGGAGAAAGAGAAAAACCCAATTAGCCAGCAGGAGAAACACTGTTGACCCAGAGACTGAAGCGCACAGCCCAGGGGTTGGGAGCAGCAGGGGAGGGTCTCCTGGATTGACCCTTGGCCTCCAGCTCCCCCAAAGCATTCTGGCCTTCTTTATATTTTCAGAAACTGTCAGCCTCACGGTCAGCCTTTTAAGGTAGACCAGGCTAGAAAACCCAAGTCATGCATGCTAATCCTACTTTTATAAGATTATAACAATAGAATTTGCAGCCTGAATGTGCTTCCCCCCTCTCTGTCTTTATCTTCACAAGAATTTGGGCCGGTCTCAATAAAAGCGAATATTTTTAGTTCAGGATCAAAATGAGGGGTCCTGGGGGCGCTCTGAGCTTGCTTGTTTTCTTGCAGACTAGGTATTTGCATTACCTAGTTTGCATTGCCCAAACTAGGTAACAACATCAGTGCTAGGGCAGGTCTGCTCCGAGACGCTTCCTCGGATTACAGTTCTGCTCCGGACTCAATTTTCTTTTATCTGATTGTTGCCTTGCTCGCTGCTCTTCCTCCTGTTCCTCAAGGTTACTCCCTCTGCCCATTACAGAAACTGACCCAGGTGTACCGAACACTCCATGGGGCGTACAGTAAAATCCTGGAGGTGATGCAGAGCAAAAGGAGGCTCCTAGGCACCTACTTCCGAGTCGCGTTCTACGGACAGGTGAGCCCATGGATGGCTTGGATGATGGACACAGAGAGTCAATCCATCGTGGGGGTCTTGACCTTAAAGTAGCCTTTTTGTGTATCCTGGTTTCTTCATCGATTCACTTCAGTTGGCATCCACTTCCTTGCCACCCTTACAAAGGTACTGCTTTGTCTGTTCCTCCTCCAAGGGCGTCTTTGGCATCTCCAGTTTCTCCTTCCTCCCCCCCCCCCCCCCCGGTGCTTTCTAGAATCCTCCTTTCTCTGGAGCAGCTGTCTCCGATGTGTGGCTCAATCAGTTCCATTTTCTTGGTTGGAGGGACTGTCTAAGGCAGTCTTTTTCAAACATGGCAAGTCTAAGACGTGTGGACTTCAATGCCCAGAATTCCTGCTGGCTGGAGAATTGTGGGAGCTGTAGTCCACAGGTCTTAAAGTTGTCAATCCTGAAAAACACGGACATAAGGTTTTTCTTTTGGACTATCTCTAGGAGAGGCTGTCCCAGACTTTCGAGATGTTATCAAGTTCTGATCTTTTGTGGCCCCAAAGGACTCTCCAGATTCACCTCAAAACTCCACATTTCAATTATTCTCAGCCTCCTTGGATATTATTCACATTTCATAATTAGAAATGACATTGGACCAGATGTAATTCTTAGCATTAAATCCATTTCGCTTGAAGTTAGGACATTCCAATTCTTCAGTTTCCTGGCAATTTCTGTGTGTCTCTTACTTCCCCAGCTGTTCCCCGTCTTCTGAGACTGAGCACGCAAGACAGACAAAATTTGTGATTTTCTTGAGAGGCATCATTGATCAATGTTTTATTTTGAAGGGCCCTTTTCCCTTGAGGGTGTTTTGTGTTTTGTTAGTCTTAAAATATGGCCTGAATTTACTGTTATTACTATTTTTACTTTGCTTCCCTTTATATTTACTTTACTTTATCCTTCCCTTCCTTCTTCTCCCTTCTTCCTTCTTCCTTCTTCCTTCTCTTTCCTTTCCTTTCCCTGGAAGTTTTTAAGAAGAGATTGGGCAGCCACTTGTCTAAAATGGTACAGGGTTTCCTGCCTGAGCAGGGGGTTGGGCTAGAAGACCTCCTTCTATATTCTATATTTGACTTTATTTGTGTAACTAGTGATTCATTTTGTATTGTTTCCTTTCTTTATGCCGGCCTTCCTCTTGAAGGAGTCCAGCGCAGGGCATGAAAGCAACATAAAACAATCTCCCATAAAATAAACAACTCGCCCATTCTCGAAAGAAGGAAGGCAGTGAAAGCAGAAGGGAAGCTGAGCACCACGTTCATTCGAGAGGCGTTGTGGGGCCGGCTGCACGGAGAGCGCAGCAGAGCCAGAGCAGCCCCAGGGGGGAGCCCGGCGGGTGGGAAGGGACGGCCTCGCACCAGGCGCCCAGGTCCCTGGAGCAGAATCGGGCGACCGGACTGTGGAAAGGAAGCCAAAGGCCGACACTTGGCTGTTGCTCCTTTATTGCAGGCAGTCCTCGACTTACAACAGTTTATTTAGTGACCACTCAAAGTTACAAGGGCATTGCAAAAAGTGACTTGTGACTGTTTTTCACACTTACGTCCATTGCAGCATCCCCTATGGACATGTGATCAGAATTGAGACGCTTGGCACCTGGTTCGTACTTATGAGCCGGTCAGGATTGAATTCCTGGCAGTGGGCAGAGTTAGCCTGCAATACTGCATTCTAACCACTGCGCCACCACAACTCTTCCAATAATACCAAATAGAACTCGGGTTTATATCTGTTTTTCACTATGCTCTTTCACGTGGCTGTCTGTCTGTCTGTCTCCCTTCCTCATCCAGTACACCTCTTATTGCATGGCTAGCTCAGGAATTCTGGGAGTTGAAATCCACAAGTCATAAAGGGGCCATCGTTTCCCACCTCTGACTTACTCAGTTCTTGCTCTGATTTCTGCAAATTCAGTCTCTTTGGAGGCACACCGTTTTGAGTCTAGCATGAGGACTATGAGGACTATCAACTTGAACAAAAGAAAAGCCAATCTCTTGAACTGGGTTCCTTGTTCGTCCCTTCTGATGTGTCCCTGTGGAAGTGAGTGGTTCTTGTCTCCCCCCCCTCCCAAATCCTTTCTAAAAATCAACTGCTTGAATCATTGCAGGCTTTCTTTGAAGAAGAGGATGGGAAAGAGTACATCTACAAGGAGCCCAAATTAACCGGCCTCTCGGAGATATCCTTCCGGCTGCTGAAACTCTACGGAGAGAAATTTGGAGCTGAAAGTGTCAAAATTATCCAGGATTCCAACAAGGTAATCTGAAAGGAGGGCTCGGATTCTGGCAGAGTAGAACCGCATCACCAAGACAACTTCCTTCCAGTTGTCATCATCTCAAGAGGTTCCCGAGTGGCCGTCATGGGCTTGGGATCCGGAAAAGTTGGTCTCTTGGCCAGAGATCCCTGAATATCCAACTGGGTTGATCTTCTTTTGGTTCCTTTCTGAACTTTCCATTTTCTTACTGCAGGTGAACCCCAAAGATCTAGATGCCAAGTATGCTCACATTCAGGTGACTTACCTGAAGCCATTTTTTGACGAGAAGGAGCTTTCAGAGAGGAAGACGGGGTTTGAAAGGAACCACAACATCAACCAGTTTGTCTTCGAGACCCCGTACACCTTGTCTGGGAAGAAGCATGGAAACGTGGAGGAGCAGTGCAAGAGGCGGACCATCCTCACCAGTGAGTGTGTGTTGGTGCATAGGTGTATATGGGTTTTTTATGTTAAGCAACTCAGAGACTGATTGCACATCTCCCTAATTCTTTGGTTGAAAAATAAAGACTCCATCTAGTTATACAAATATGAAAACAGGCTTTGCAACTGCTGAAACTCACAGCAAAGACCACCTACCATTGTTGAAATGGAGGCCAATAAATAAATTATTTATCTCAAGAGCAAACCACTCAGAACTAGGAGAAGACAATCTCTTCTTCAGAGGAGGTGGTCCTTATTTCATCTCAATGTCCCCAAAGCCAGAAATCCAGTAACTGATTATAGCCCATCAAGTCAAGTTGTTACCTGACTACTAAGGTGGTACTATAGAGATTTTCTCCACGAACATCTGTCCCTAATCTGGTCCTTCAGGTCTTCCAACAATGTATCCATGGGCACTGCAGTCTTCATCTCCTGATCATCCTCTTCTCTTTCCTTCCACCTTTTCCAACATTGGAGCCTGTCCCACAGAGCTGGGCCTTCCTATAATGTCTCCAAAGGAAGATAATTATAGCCTGGTCATTTCTGCTCAAATGAGAACACTGTCTTGATATTCTCCAAAGTATTCTGACTCCTTGTGGGAAGAGACACCCTAACCACTAACAGTTCTTCTTATAGACCTTTTGAACCATGACTGAGGTCAAGTCACACACCTTTTGTGAGGGCCCAGCAAGCCCTCACACAGTTTCTCAAGGCTTCCATCATCTTGGACACTGGAGAGTGAGATGCCCCAAAATTAGGAGATTTAGCAATCTTGCACAATCAGAGGGAGTCATCACTCAAAAAGTTGCCTAATCTTGACCTTATTCACTCTATAGAAAAGTTTGCTTGGACTTTGAATTTCCTTGTCTGCATTGTTGTAATATTTGTGGTCTGTTGAGACGGCTTTTCTTTCTTTGCCTCAAGACAAATGAGATTAAGTTAGAGCAAAAGGGCCAATTAGGGGGTCTCCTTGGGTCTTCCTGGGCTTCCTTTCTCAGAAGCAGAGATTTATTTTTGAGCTAGAGCTTGTAGGTAGGGAACTTTTAATTCTCTTGATCAGCGCTTCTGTGGCTTACTTCTTTCTCCTAGCTTGCAACTCTTTCCCGTATGTTAAGAAGAGAATCTCCGTCAGCAGCGAGCAGCAGGTCAACCTGAAGCCGATTGACGTGGCCACGGATGAAATCAAAGAAAAGACCTCCGAATTGCAGCAGCTTTGTGCTTCGCCGGAGGTGGACATGATCCAGCTGCAGTTGAAACTGCAGGGGGCAGTTTCAGTGCAAGTAAGCAGCTGGGCACATCTGCCCTGGAAGTCAATATTTCCCTGGCTGGAAATGGGGAGGGAAATTTGACAGCTTTTAGCTGGAGGGCTCCTTCTAGGTCTGCCCTCGGTGTCTTTTCACTGTAAACTACCAATAGTTTAAACATTGTTTGCTGAATAAGCCACAAAGGATTCACACATGGACAGATAAGCCATAAATCATGGGTTACAACCACTTCCTTTCCGGTTTTCATGGGCAAGAAGCCCACCCTGTAATTTTCACTCCTCCAAAAGGCCGAGCATCCCTCCCCAGCTGTTCCACGAATCATAGCAGATATGTCGGGGTGTCGCTGTTTGCCCTGTGTGTATGTGTTCATGGATTTAATGCAAGGGGGTTAGCTGAAGACCCCCAAATCTCCTTTGGATGGACAGGAAGCTACTAGAATTCCTTGGCTGCTTAAAATCAGGGATACCAATTCCTGCCATTTCAGGGTCGGGCCTAAAAAAAGCTAGATATAGCCTTTCAAAGCTAAGCATTCTGCTTCCAGTCGCTTATCTTTAAGCCCTGGTGCTCCTCCAGTTCCTGGGGGTGCAAAGAGGAATCTTTGCTTCCTGCCCTTGAGGGCTGCTGGGTAAAGACACTGAGGGACACGGTTGCTTTGAAGATCACTGAGGCGGTTCCTTGAAGCATCACCAGCACTGCAGAGTACCTGGGTTTTGTGCTGTGAACCAGCTCCCAGCTTCTTCATTTGTCTCTTTCTCTTTGCCTGATCTCTTTGTCACTGTACCTCTGTTGTGGGGGACATGGCATTAGGTCAATGCTGGCCCCCTGGCATACGCCCGGGCATTCTTGGATGACAAGCTTCCCAGCAAATATCCCATGAAGAAGGTGACTGAACTCAAGGACATGTTCAGGTTGGTATCGTGGACTTTGGCACCCTTCTTGCCTGATGGAACTCCAGGTGGTCTCCCACCCAGGCACCGACCAAAAGCAGACCAGCTGCACCGGAGACCCCTGAATTTCTGGGTACCGTTCAAAATGCTGGACTTTATCAATGAAGTCCTTCAAGGCTCTGGTTAGGTTACCTCAGGAACCATCAGCTCCAGGTAGAAGTCATCTGTCCTGCAGCTGGATTTGGGAAGGCTGCTTCTGAGCCCCGCCCCAAGAAGCAGCCCCTTCCCCAGGTAATAATGGCCGCTTCCCACTTCCTGTTAGCACCCACTGAAAGCTGGCAAAACATTCCTTATCACCGCCAGGCTTTATCATCGCTTGGTCTGAGGTTTATTGACTGTCTTCCTTTGAGGTCTTTTAACAGTGGGCTGTAGCTGATTATTTATATAAGCCAGTTAGAATTTTATGATTGTTCCAGAACTATCTGTGATAAGGAAACTAACATAACTTCGCTACAGGAGCTGAACGGAGTTCACATTTTTCTCAAGTTCAGTATTGCTTCAAGTGTGTCTCAGGACCTCTGGCGCTCTTCCCAAGACCCTCTCACGGGGTCTACAAAATCGAAATTATTTGACAGATTTTGAAGAGATTTGCCACATTTTAAAACCCTGTCAATCTTCTCATTATTTTTTATTTGTTAAAAATACAGGGTTTTTTTTCACAAAACATACTTTATTTATGTTAATATCTAATGGCGCCCATATGATTATTTTAACAATCAATTTAAATTTTTAATATGGTAAATATTGATAGATAAAACCCATACAAATACAATCTCTTTTGGGGCCCTCCATAATTTTTAAAAATGGGAAGGGAAAATTAAAAGTAGGAAGCTTAAGAAGGGCCACTCAACGTCTGGCTGAGCAAACCCGTTCTCCTTTCCTTTTTATTAGCCCAGCTGAATTGGTGCCCTTTTGCATTTTGTTCAAGCAAAGTAGGCAAATAAAAGAGCCGCATTCTTCCCAGAACTGTGTTTGTCAAAGGGAAACAGCATGTGGAAAGGGAGGACAGGACGCCAGGTGCACACACCCAAGTATGAAGAATCCTGTGAGTCACCTCCCCAAGGCCCTTAGACTGCCATCCTCTCACTAGACCAGTGTTTCTCACCCATGGCAGCTTGGAGATGGGTGGACTTGAACTCCCAGAATTCCCTGGTATTCATGCATTCCTTTTGACGTTGCATGCCTGCTTATTCTTTTCTAATCCCTTCTTCTGCAATCTCTCCCCTCCAGAGAGAGAAAAAGGACATGGCTAGCTGGGGAATTCTGGGAGTTGAAGTCCACCCATCTTCAAGTTCCCAAGGTTGAAAAATACTGCACTAGACCAACTAGGGCCTGGAATGTCACTGATAACCAAAAAGATGTGAATTCTTTCTAAATTAGAGGACCAGTAAGAGGGAAGTGGTTGAACTGGGATTTCAACCCCAGAGGCTTTTTGGGGCAGTTCATCCTGAATCAGAGATGGGAATTCATCTCTTCTCTCCAAGCCCTGCTCTGTCTGCTCCAAGGAACAGAGGGAGGGCCAAGAGAACAATTTCAGGAAGTCCTACCACCTTTAGGGGTGCCCCCCCCCCGGCACAGTGATGCTCTTCCTCCTTTCCCAAAAAAACTGGCAGTTTTGCAACTGTTTTAACTGTCTGCAGGAACAGAGAAGGATCTGGCTAGCTACAGTGTCCTGCTTGCCTTTCCAAATCTGCCCTTCAGCCCTGAATTTAAAAGCCTGGCTTTTCAACTTCACTTCCACTCTCTCCCCCCCCCCCCCCCCCCCCCCCCCCCCCCCCCCCCCCCACCCAATCCACTTCCCCCAGGAAGTTTATCCAGGCCTGTGGAATCGCCCTGGAATTCAATGAACGGCTGATAAAGGAGGACCAAGCAGAATATCACGAGGAGCTGAAGTCCAACTTCAGGGAGATGGTGAAAGAGCTCTCGGAAATCCTGCACGAACAGGTGAGACCCAGGTGGGGCAGCCCTGAGAGTTGTTTAAAGTCGCTAAATACATTTATTTATTTGTTTATAAAATTTATTAACCACCTGTCTTACCACACGGTAACTCTGAGCAGCTTACAATGTTATATGCTTGTAAGGTTGTAAGTCAGGGGTTCCTGTATGTGGCTGCTTACGAAACTGGGATTCAGAGCTTAGTGTCCTGCAGACAACTCTCAGGTTTGAGGTCATTGGAAACCGGATCAAAACAAGGACAGCTTATCTCTCTGTTGCAATGGGGGGGGAGGACCGCCAAACCCTTCCCATTTATATTCCCTCCCCCCCTGCCAGCTGAGTCCTTGTGGCTGGATTTGCATAGAAGGGGCAAAGGCCCTCTGCAACAGCTCCGTATTCAAATGGGAAAGATCTGGTCTGGTTGAGAGTTTTTCAGTTCCGCTCTTCTTCCTCATGCGCTTTTTGCTCTGCGGGGGGGGGGGGGAACTGGACTGGCTCAGCGGGGCATCTCCAGGGGTGACCAAGCCCCAAATGGCCAGAATTGCTTCCTTTGGTTTGTCCACTTTTAGAAGACTTTTGGTAGTCTGAGTCAGAAACCGTGGGATGAAGTCACGGGAGCGGTTGCCTGGGCATCCCATAATGTTTATTTATTTAAGAAAATTTACTGTATATGGCTGCCCATTCATCTCAGTGACTCTCCGCGGCTTAGAAAAATAAGTTATACAATAATATGTTGATGATGGAATTCCCCAGAGAATGTTTCTGAAGTCAGGCAACTTTAAGACGGGTAGACTTCAACTCCCAGAATTCCCCCACCAGCTTAGCTGGCTGGGGAATTTTGGGAGTCGAAGTCCACCGGTTTTAAGTTTTAGAAATACTGCTATAGGATGGAACCGCTTCAAGGCCCTTTAAGTCATTTATTTATTTATAGCTCCACTGATTGTCAGTCCCTTACAATCCTACCCCACACCAACTAGATTTAAAGAGCCAAAAAATGGAACAACCTGCCTTCAGAAGGTGTGAATGCTCCAACACTGGAAGTTTTTAAGAAGAGACTGGACAGTCATTTGTCTGAAATGATATAGGGTTTCCTGCCTGAGCAGGGGGTTGGACTAGATGACCTCCAAGATCCCTTCAATATTATTACTACTACTACTACTACTACTACTACTACTACTACTACTACTACTGTTGTTGTTGTTGTTGTTGCTGTTGTTGTTGTTGTTGTTGTTGTTGTTATCAGGGCTTTTTTTCAGCCGGAACGCGGCGGAACCGCGTTCCGGCACCTTTTTCCGGGCCGGCCGCACCAGAAATAGCCCCTCCCACACCGGAAATAGCCCCTCCCAAATTTTACTTGCATTCCTGTTCTCTAAAGGGGCGGTCCTAGGGTTTGATGAGGGCGTGGCCAGGTTTGAGTTCCGCCACCTTTTCTCCGAGAAAAAAAGCCCTGGTTGTTGTTATTATTATTATTATTATTATTATTATTATTATTATTATATAACCAAAACATTCAGCAGTATTCCTCAATAAAAGATTACCAGGCCATGGAATCCTGAAAGCCTCATTCCCCCCCCCCTTACATAGCAGGAATCTCTCTTGGACTTTGTGAAAATCTGCAAGATTAATGCTAGGGCTGAAATCCAGAGAAAATCTGGCAGAGAGAATCTGCTTTTTGACTGGGGATGAGTGCAGGAGAATTCCCACCACACAGCGTTTTCATTTTCAAACCCTTCTGAAGTCAACAAGAACTCCTAGCGATGAAAAAGCTGCTCAGAAACGGGTGGGCCTTATCTGCTTGGCAGGCAGCCTCCCAATGTTCTCCTAGCCCCCCCCCCCCAACTTTGCCATCTGCAGCCATTTAGGAGAGACGGGTGGAGTTCACCTCTTAAAATCTCGGTTGTAAAATTAGAAGGGATCTGCCGTCCCTCGGAGCGAACAAAGGGAGTGGAACCTTATTAAAAGCAAAAACAGAACGAGAGTAAAACCGCACAGGGGATTACCCGCTACAGAAATCAGCAATGATTTTGACCCTCCAGCAAGTTAGCATTTTTTGGTCTTTGTGAAACTATAAACCCTTGTTCTGCAGGAGCTCTTGTTTTTCACAAGTGAACCCCAGAGTGTGGCAGTCTTCCAGGGAACCAAGCCCCACAATCCTTGGAAAAAGCCAGTTGGTGCCAAATGGGTTAGACTGACTGCTGTCCTGTGCAGATGTTTCGGTGAGGGCCCTTTAGAGCAGGCACCCCCTCCCATAATTCCCCATCAGGCACTGCTCTGCACACCACCCTCACGTGTCTCTGGAGGAGGGACTGGAGTGGAAACAGGATGGCCAGGCTAATAACTAGCAGAGCAGCAGCCCAGAGAAGGCTCGGATGATATTCTGAAGGAGGTTCGGGGTGCAACTTGAACAAGGACCCACCTGTGGAACGAGACAGAAAAGGTGGTTGACGGTCAGTTGTGCCAGGAGCAGACACCCAGGAGACAGAGCGCCAAGGAAGTGGGTTGCAGATCATGGCCTTAGTGAGAATCTGATTAAGGGCTGGGAAGCTGCCAATTTGGGTGTCCAACCTTGGCCACTTTGTGGACTTCAATGCATAGCTGGCTGGAGAATTCGGGAGTTGAAGTCCACAGGTCTTAAAGTGGACAAGATTGGACACCTCTGCTGTAACCCTCCAGATTTCTTCTCCTGGCCTTGCAAAATCTCCACCCCGTGAGGAACAACGAAGCAGTAGGAAAGCCAACACAAAGTCTCCAAGTAGCAAACAATTTCCATGTGTGTGTTTATGTGTGTGCATATGCATGATGAATCAGAGAGCAGACTGTGTTCAGCCCCACATCTTGCAGAAATGTGTTTTCAAGCCACGTCCTCCAGAAGGAGCCAACCAGCCTTGGAGAAGCTGCTTCTTCCTGGTTGAAACGCAGCTGTTCCTTCTGGGTTGCTCCTCATGGAGACGCCTCCGTTTGGCTGCTTTCCTTCCTTTTGATCCCAAAGCGCCCGGAGCAGAAACTTTTCTCTTTCCTTCTCCTGGATTTTGAAAGCCACCTGCCAGGCCTTGAAGAGTCCATCTCATGCCTTCAATAACTTCACTTCCCTTCTCTTTCTTTCCTTCTCCATGCTGCCCTTGCCATAACAGCTCTGAAGACCAGGTGGGGTAACACCTCGCTGTTTTCATTTCGGTTAAGCAAATGTTTTTCTCCTTTTCGGAGATGCAGAGGCCTGTGCTAACTCAGCTCCCCTTTTCAGATCTATCAAGAAGACCCCGGGCATCCATCCTGGTTGCCAAACACCCTACATGTCTTCTGTGCCATTAGCGGGACTTCCGGAGAAAGATACGGCTCCTTCTAAACCTGCCTGGAGCTTCAGGAGGGGACCAGGAGAACTTCTCGACACTTGCCAGACCTTTCTCAGGAATATTCTGAATGCTGCCTGAAACTGGGGAACCTCCAACGCCTAACCGGGGGTCTCTCCATCCCTCTTCCTCACAGGGTACTTATTTGAACCGGGAAAGTGCCTCCTGTTTCTCTTTTCTACCGGCCTTCGTTGCGTTGTGCTAAACGTGCTTCGAAAAGCATTGATCGGACCCTGTTCCACTCAACGCAGGACTCCAGATCCTGCCCTGTAAAGCTGTACAATGGAATATAATAAAGTGGGAAGCTGTTTTTGTAATCAGCTCTCGGGGTTGGAAGCCTCCACTTCTCCCGTAGAAAGCAGAAGCCGTGACGGTCCCCAAATGTAGAGAGGATCTCACAGAACGTGGCCCTGAGTAGGTTTCTCACCGTTTCCTGCGTTTGCTCAACCTGCCTACTCTGGTTGCTTAAAAGAGGGGGGAAAGGAGATGTCGGAACATAACTGTCTGTTCGTGAGGTTAAACAGTAATTTTTTTTGTGGTTGTGCTTGAGAACAAAGTATGGCCTGGAGCTAGGCAGGTTTGGGGTTTATTTAGCAAGACCCGGTTTTAAAACAACTGCAAATGCACCTATGGCCACCCATGTTCCTCGTGGCTTGCCCTGAATTGCTTAGGCCCCCATTCCCTGCTCGGCCTCCCTGACGTTAAGGAGGAAGAAAAAATGAAAGAGAAAAAAAATTAAGAAGGAGAAATGAAAGTAACTTTTGCTGGCATCCTTGCTGCTCCGTAGATAGCTCGGCTTTGGAGAGACTTTAATCCACTCAGCAAAATCTCTGGATATTTGCAGGACTGGATGCAGCAGGCATGGGATTCCCCTCTCAACATACATGCCTGGTTATGAAAAGTGTGTTTTTTAATCTCGGGGTGAGGGAGAGACGTCAGCAAGGGGAATTCTGCTGTTCTGTTTACCACCACCCCCCCAAGCAGCATCTGGCCTTGGATGTCAAGCCAGGCAGCCTGGACTATTTTTCTCCTCTTTCTTGGATGATTCCTTTAGAGGATTCCTGGGGGAGGGACCGGGCTCTGTCTTGACTTGAGTGTTGTGCAGCCACAGAATCAAGCCCACACAGCCAGGAATGCTGAAGCCGCCAATTTGGTTTCCAGCCAAACAGAGCGGAGAAGCTGCCTCGCCGCCTGCTTTACTTTGCCACCACAGGGCTTGGCTCTCCGGGCTGGAGCCCTGAAATGGGGACTTAGCCCACAAAGGAGAGAAAGCTGGAGGGGCTCCCAGGGTGAAGCTCAGCCAGAGAAGCCCCCCCGAAACCAGCCTTTTCTTTCAGAGGGAATTGGATGGTGCAGCAAGACAAGGAAAAGCCGGGCACAAACCCGGCTGTTGCCTAACCTGGCTACGGTTGAGCTGTGGTTTCCTTATCCAGGTTGGTTAACTGTTTTTAATAAGCCATGGTTAGTTAGGTTCGCATCAGGCCTGAATCCGTAAGCCCCGGTTTGAAAAGGAAAACACACAAAGGCAATGTCAACCGTCCAATTGCCTTAAGGCAGGGGTGTCCAACCTTGACAAGCTGGCCTGTTGCCAGAGCCTGGCACTGGGGGCTGAGAGGGCATCTGGTCCAAAGTCACCCAGCTGGCTTTCATGCCTAAGGCACAGCTAGAACTCGCCGTCGCCTGATTTGTAGGCCAGCGTCTTCAACTAGACCAAGCTGTAGCTGCAAAAAAACAGGAAGTGTGTGTGTGTGTGTGTGTGTGTTGGGACTTTTGAACTGTGCAAAAGCATTCCAAACCAAATGAAGGCCAAGTTGCACCTTTTCTCCCTCTCTTCTGCCCATCCCACGCAAAGCTGCTCCGTGGGCATCGCAGTGCCAGGTGTTTGGGGCCAGGAGAGTCTGTGACTAAGGGCCTTTAGTCCTCTCTGACGCTTCAGTGTGGAATCATCCACATCTCTCCAACCGTGATGGATCTTACTCCGCATTTCCTTCCTTCCTTAATTATTTCCAAGAAATCCAATTATTTGGGGATGATTCAGTGCATTTCACCTTTTCCTTGCTTAGCTCACATCCTGCCTTTGCCTCCAAGACTGCCCATAAACTAAGCCGAAAGAGTAAATCAAGCCTGCCCTATTGCACAACTGCCACTGCTAGGTGTGTACATGCACAAGTGAAGTCGTCATGCTTCTACTTTGCCAGTGGCTTCCAAATGCTGTCAACTGCAATTTCATTTTAATATGCATGAGAGAATGAGATGAGTACAGACCTGCAGCCGTGACCTCATCACCCCAGAATTCAAAAACTATCTAAATGGATTAGAAAAACAACCAAGAAAATAAATTTCTGGCTTTGTTTCTCCTACTTTTCAATGGGCAGAATTGTCTCTGAAGACCAACTGCTGCGTTAAACCAACAATTTGTGCAGTTTGTTTTAGGAAGTCCCCTTTTAGAAACCTTTATGCCGCGGTTTTGCATTCCTCGGCTCTTCCTTTAATCCCACAATTGCTCAAACCAGTTCCCCTCCTTCAGTTCTCCAAAGGAGGCATTTCTTGACCAACTGGAGGACCCCAATTTCTGACCCAAACCAGTCCACTTCAGGGTAGGCTAGTCCATGCATGCCTCTAAAGCAGGGGTCCCCAACCCCCTGATCCGTGGACCAGCACCGGGCCACGGCATGCCAGCAACCAGGCCACACAAACAAGCAAAGCCCCATCTGGGGGATGCAGGCAGCACACAAAACCACACCCCCTCCAGTCCACGGAAAAACCTCTTCACAGAATTGGTCCCTGGTGCCCAAAAGGTTGGGGACCTCTGCTCTAAAAGTCAGCCTTTTTGTTTTCCAACATGGATGTGTTGCAAAGCACAATTGCTGCCTGTTACTTCATGGTAATTTTTGCAGCTGAAAGTTGTTTTCACTAGCAAAGCCAGCACCGGTTGTGAAACGCCTTGACAACGTGCGTAGGGCAAACTGTCAAATGGTTAGCAGTTCTACAGTAAACCTACTATGACTCCAAGAACAGGTGGTAGATTTAGCCGGTCCCTCTTTTTTGGACTTCAGCACATCTTCCTGGCTGTCAGGTCCCAGGCTTTCCCAGGCCAGAGAGAGGAGCATCTTGATAGCCTCCCCTCCCTCCATGGATCCAGCCATTGTGACTCCTTCAGCCAACCTGAATAAACAACCTTGGGCTGAAAACATCCCTGGCTTTTCTCCTCTACTCTTCATCAATCCAGTGAGAATTTGCTTTTGAAACGTGCTTCAAAGGACCAGAGATTGGGGAAAATATGGACGATGGTGCAGCCTTGCACATCCCATCTTTCACCTGAGCAACCTTCCAAAATTTGCAGCCTGTGTGAGTGTCCCCATTGCTGTCCAGTTCCCAAAAAAGACATTGGGGAGGGTCTCCTTCCTTTTAGGAATGACTTGGTCCTTAAAAGGTTAGGAAAAGGGCATCTAAGGAGGCTTGGAAGAGAGAGCAAGAGCGATGCAATGGAATGAGCCTTGCCCGCTTTCAAAACTAAAGTCAGCTCAGAAACCCTGCCAGAAAAACAAAATCCTCCAGAAATAATCAGACCCTGGAAGAGAAAGACACCCACCCAGGGAGAAGCATTTTTTTCCCTAGGAGAAGGTGGCTCTTGAGAAGTTTTAGTTTTTAATTCAGAAGCCTTGCCACGCTCTCTCCTCCTGGCTTGCCCAATCTATCACACCTCTCTGCTTTTCAACAACTTGCTGAATGCAAAAGTCTTGTGCTTTCTATCAAAGTCAACAGGGCATTCTTTTTTCTTCTGCTCTTTTGTTCCAAAGCTGATTATTCAAATAAAAGGGCAGAGGGACTTCACTTCCTGGTAGAAATGAATCAGTTCCTTTTTAATGCCTAAGAAGGCCTTTGCAGCGGGGGGGGGGGGGCAGCCCTGGGTTGTATCAAACACCTTGTCAAAACCCAGCACACGAATAACAAGAGGCAATTGTGCTCAATCCAGGAACGTTGGGGGAATTTGGCCTCACCCTCTCTGAGGTTGTGGGCACTCTTGGTTTTAACATGTTGAAAATCATGAACATGTTAAAAAGTCCAGCTTTCGGGGAGGACCTTCCTGTGAAATAAAATGTAAGTTAAAGTGACACAAATAAACGAAGGCAGCAAAAAAGCATGTTTTTAAGGTGAGGTGGAATTCGTGCCCAAGAACAGCTCACCAGACTCCTTCCTTGTCATGTTTGGCTTTGAACCTTTTGCCCAGCAGCTATTCAACGTTTTTCAAACTTGCCGACTTTGAGATGTGAAGATTTCAACTCAGCCACAGCCAGGATTCTGGGATTGGAAGCCCACACATTTTAAACTTGCCAAGTTTGGAAAATATTGGGCTAGCTCAGCCGTTTGTTGGGCTTTCCGACTTTTTTCCTCACCGGTTTTAAAATGGGAAAGGAAAGTTTTAAAAGGCTGAAAGGGAGGAGAGACTCCTGACACCTGTTGCATCAGTGCTCAGGTATCCTTCATCCCAGGCAGAGGGAAACGTCGCCATGTCATGTCCATGCTCTGAAAGCAGCCTAGAATGTGTGAAATCTGCGCCGAATTCTTCTCCTTCCCGTTCTGCACGATTGAAGTAAGGAATATCACACGATTTATCCCCCAAAGCAGCAAAGATCATTCGTGACATCTTTAAAACAGCTTATGTGGTATTATGTAAACTCACAGAGGCCGTATGTTGTCAAATGCAGGAAGTGTTATCGCAGTTGGGATGAAGATAACATCATCATTATGAAAAATAAAAAGTACTGGGCAAAAACCACAGCTATGATATTCACACACTGCTTGGTTTGCCTAATTGTTTGACCAAGGTTTATCGCAGGGCAGAGTTGGCTGGCTTACACTTTGGACGGAGTCCTAAACCCCAATGATTAGGTGTGCCCAACCAGCTAAGCCAATCTCAGAAAGCCCGCACTGGTCTTGCACAAGTACAAATGTGCCTGGATTCACTTTCTTGAAGAGCTGAAGATCGTGAGAACAATAATATTATAATAATGTAGTAATAATAATAGACTTGGGAGGGACCTTGGAGGTCTTCTAGTCCAACCCCCTATACCATTTCAGACAAATGGTTGTCCTGTCTTATGGGGGTGGAGATGCTTGGAGGAGATGGGGCTCAGATCCCTGTCCTCAACTTTTCCCAGCTTCCTTAGCAGAAAACCGGATCGTCACTTAGGGTGGAGACAAGCACTTCTTTTCAGCTGTTCAGATGGTACAGAATGTATACTCCAGTTTGGATGGAGGGTGAACATTGGTGCAAGAACCAGTTTAAGCATTGGGAGCGCTGGGTATGCATTCTGCAAAAGAGCTGGGGGTGGGGGGTGAGTCTCTGTCGCTGTTGAAAGAGTAGCGTGATAGCAAACCAACGTATTATGCCATAGCACAGGGGTCTCCAACCTCGGCAACTTAAAGACTTGTGGACTTCAACTCAGCATAGGTGGCTGAGGAATGCTGGGGGTTGAATTCCACAAGTCTTGAAGTTGCCGAGGTTGGACAGCCCTGCCACAGAACATAAAGAGATTGAGATGTTCAGGGCCAGCAGGTACAAAAGTGTAGAGCCACATCTGACTTAATTTACAGCAACTTCTCCCTGCCAGAGTGGTCCTGGGGAAAACACAAACAGCTTCTGAGGATGCGGAGAGTACTTTTTGCCTGCGAGGCTGGAAATTCCCAGCTCTCACGATTTGGAAGAGAGAAGCAGAACAGAGAGAAATTTCCTAGCCCCAAAGGAAGCAGGCCGGCCCCTCTCTTCCTACACAGCAGAGCAACTCAGAGGGCAGAATTGTTATGCGCAAGTGTATCAGTACAAGACTGGAGTTTTACAGAACACTGGTAAGCTGGGGGGGGGGGCATCCTGAAATGTGTGATTTTCTTGCAGACCAAATGAGTTTGGAGATTCCTGGAGGTGTCTAATTACTAATTAGCTCATGTTTTTTTCAGGTCTTCTCTTTCAGGTGCTTTCTTTTCTCCTTGCCTGTTGTTCCCAATTCTGCAAAAGTCAATATAGGCCGAGCTGAAGTTGTGGAGCCAAGTGTTTGTCTGGCTGTCAACGAGGTCCTGAGTTTGCGTTTAGGATCAGTGACGCAACGTGCTGCCAAGAATACATTGTCTTTCGGGAAGTTGTCCCTCTCTAGTTTCCTTTGGCACTTCAGCGTGCTGACCTTTGTTTTTAAGTTGATAACAACTGTGTGTTTGGGCGGGGGTTTCTGGGAAAGAAAGAGGGGCCTCCAGCTAAGCTGTGAGGTGGGCAGAAGTTATTCTGCAGTGGAACACTTCACCCACTGAAGTCGGTGCAACTGCCGTATCCTGTGTGGGAAAATGCCCTTGAAGCAGCCTTGCCCTTGCTCCCCCAAAGAGAAAGAGTTTCCCATGAACGTTACGCAGAAGACGCCACCATTTTGGGGGCAATCCTGACATTTCATGACAGCTCTATAGCAAGAGCTGTTTTTGTTGAAGTGTGGGGGTGGGTTTCCTGAAGAGCTTCACTTCTGCAAATCCCTTTAGATGATTCATGGGTGCCTCAGCAAGCAGAGGGGCCTGGCCGATTGTCCTTTCCACGTTTCCCTTTGGTCATACGGAAGTGGGTCCCTTTTAAAAAGAGATGCCCTTGCGGGCACACATGGGCTCGTAAGCTTCGTAAGGCTGCCTGCCCCACTGACAGCCCTGTAAAAGCAGAACGGTTTTCAGAATAGAAAACCAACCCACTGAGCAGAAAAAGTCCTCTGAAGAGGCTCATTGGCCATCTTAATCCATGACCTGGGGAAAAGCTGTTTTTCAAAGGACTTTTACAATGAAGGCAGGTGGGAGCTGCAAAGATCCCTGGTGGGAGGCTGTTCTGGAGAAGCCCATTTCCAGGGTACTGTCAGATGGCACAATTTTAGAGACGGGACCCAGGACATGCCAACTCTGCTTGATAAAGCACCTCCTTGATGGCACCTGGAGGCCAATCAGCAACTGGGCCGCAGGGGTGCAACCTGACCATCACTGCCTTGCCATTGCGGTCTGGCCTGGCAGATGCTCCTTGGGGGGGGGTCTTCAAGGGCACCCCAGGTAGAGAAATTGGTGAACTGAAGACCCATCAGTTAAAAGTGGAGCTGATGACCACAGCAGAATAAAGAGTTAGTAAATAGATTGGACCTACACAATTCCTCTCCGGATAGGGAGAGGGCTTGAGATGGACCACAACTGCTCCAGACAGAATCTCCCCAGCAGGAGTCTGCAATGCAGCAGCATCAGGCATCTTTAGAGCCCTTGGAGGTGAGGGAAACCCATCTTTTCATTTTACCTGTGGTAAAACTTCCTTTTCTAATGATTTTCGGAAATTTACAACTATGGGGAGCCCTTCGATCAATAGGTTTGACACCAGGTGAGTTTCCTTCAATCCTTAACAAAAGAAGTTTTAAATAAAAAATTCAAGGACTTGGAAAGTTGTTTTCTTTTGAAATAAGCAGCCAAAGGGTAATCAGAACTTTCCTTTTGGAAAGTTACAAACAGACCAGATGAATCTGAAATAAGATTCTGGAATTAATTATAAACATTCTTCCCGTGGGATCTTTGTTTTGAATTCTTTTTTAAAAAAAAATAAAAAATAAAATGGGAGGATGGGACTTTGAAGGTTGGACACCTAGAGGGAAACAGAAGGAACTACACAGTACAATTAAAGGAGAAGAATACTTAAGTTTGATTGACAAATGCAGAGTAGAGCAAAACACTTTAATAATGGATATGTTGAAGGTTATGTTTAAACAACAAACCCAAAAGTTAAATTTCTGCCTCTATAGATAGACTGTGCTTAAAAGATATTAAGGAAGAGCAACAAATTTCGCTGGACAAGTCTTAAGATTTATGCAAAAGTAAGTTTAAAATGACAGGCCACAGATGCAATACTGGATATACAAGTGAAACCAGCCGAAGTCTTAATAATTAAAAGTGATGCACCAATAAATCAAAAGTGTGATCTGGATAACTTTTCTAATTGGGTTTACAAAAGAGACTTGTTAAAGCTTTGAAGAATTTTGTGAGAAGGGACGAAGAAAAAGAAATTAATTATTTGAAGGGATTAAAGATCAAAATTGTTAAAAGTAAAAAAGAAGGAACATAAAGTTGGTTTATTAGATCAAGGTTTATATATATATATAAAAATATGGGATATTGCTGTATTTTAAAAAAAAACCGATAAATTACTAAAATTGTTTATACTCCAGATGAAGGAGAATACATTTCTCTATATATTTCTTTCTCTTTACTATATTCTTACGTTTTTTCTTTTCTACACTTTCTGTTTTTCTCTTGATTCTTTTGTTTTCGATTAGTTTGGATTCGTGTGTAGCTTTTTAATTGCAATTTTTAACAAAAAATTATCACGAAAACGAGGTGGGGCAGGGACCCCGGCGGCGGCTCCAGGCTTTGGGGCTGCCCCGCTCCGCAGTCTCCGTTTCTCGCAGACCCGGCCCGGGAGGGGTCCCCGGCCCGGCCCCGCCGCTTGTCCTGGGGAAGGGGCTTTCCCTCCGCGCCGCCCCGCACCCCAAGGGCCGACTTGCGGGGGGGGAGGGAGGGGGCGGCGCTCTGTGCGCCCTCAGAGGCTTCGCAGCCCTTCCTGGGGAAGCCGCCCCGTGCAACGAAGCCCCACCTCGGCCGGGGCGGGCCGGGCCGGCCCCATCTCCGCAGCCTTCCCGTCTGAACCCGCCCCGGAGCCCAGAGCGAACGAGCGATCCGGCAGGAGCTCCGGGCGCGCCGATGGGGGTCCCGTGGCAGCCGCAGCTGCTGGCTCACCTGGCCGGGGTGGTGCTGGCCGCAGGTGAGGGGCTTGGAGGGCGGGGAGGGGCGCCTCCGGGCTCCGCCTGCCTCGCGGGGAAGAGAGCGCAGCTCCCATCATCCCCTGCCTTCCCTGAACTGGAGTCCATCTCCGCCTTGCTCAGCTTACCGTCCTCGGGGGTGGAGGTTAGACTACAAAGCCCATCCTTTCCTCGCCAGGCGTCCAGTTGAAGGGCGCTGCTTCCCAGAAGTAAAAGCAACGCGCTCAAAGGCTACTTTACTGTAATTTTATTTACTAGGGGTGTGTTTCAGTGCTGCCCTGGGACGTAATTCCAGTACTACGGTAGTAGTAATAGTAGTAGTAATAATATAAGTAATATAGTAGTAACGACAATAACAATATCATGGCAAATCAGTTTAGAGCAGTACAGAAGAGTTAACCCCCCCTCCCCGGAGGAACCCCCCCCCCATCTAAACAGCCCAGGGAGCGTAGCCTCTGGCCACTCTCCCAAATGATGGGTGGTGTAGTCCAATGTCCGGCTGACGGGGATGGGAGGGACCACAGGGCAACGGTCTCTTTTCCCAGCAGACTCGTTTTGATGGGCTGTAGCTGGTTTTATGGCATCAATTATTGTGATGCTGTTTGCCACCCAGAAGCAAAGGGATGAGGGGGGAGCTACAGAAATAGGACAAATAAATTGATGAAATTAATAAATAAAGAGAAGGAGCAGTTGCTGAGCAGGGCTGCGATTCTCCCCCATCCAGGAGAAACCTTGGGGGGCTCCTCTCCCCCCTTCTTGCTTCGTTTGGTGGGAGGATCCTGCAAATACTGGCTATCAAAAATGCCTAATGATTGAGGAAGGAAGGAAGGAAGGAAGGAAGGAAGGAAGGAAGGAAGGAAGGAAGGAGTTTGAAAGAGAGGCGTCTCCAACTTGATGCCATCTGGGTGTGCTGGAGTCTCTGTCCCCGGGTGCCCTGCTGGGGCTGATGGGACTTGGAGGGCACCCAGTTCGGGAAGGGCGCCCGGTTCTTCCCTGCCCTCCTTCCCCTCCAGCAGTGAGCAAACACAGCTCTGGTGCCCTGGTGCGACCGGGGCGAAGCCCTTCGTTGCTGGTGCCCAAGTTGGCTCTTGCAAAGTCTTCACTGGGCTGTGGGCTGGCGGGAGACCTTCCCAAGTGGTGCCCCTGCAGGGGCTGCCCCCAAAAGGGGCTTCACCCGATGGCAACGGCAGGTAGTTCTCAACTTACAGCAGCTCGTTTAGTGACCGTTCAAACAGCACCGGAAAAAAAGTGACTTATGATCCTTTTTCACAGTTACGACTGTTGCGGCCTCCCCTTTTGGTCACGTGATCAAAATTCAACCGCTTGGCAACTGGTTCATATTTATGACGGTTGCCGTGTCCCGGGGTCAGGCGATCCCCTTTTGTGACCTTCTGCCAAGCCATTGGGGCCGCCAGATTCACTTAACAATAACAACGGGGTTACTAACTTGTCAGCCGCAGTGATTCACTTAACAGCTGTGGCCAGAAAGGTTGTAAAATGGGGCAAAACTCACTTTTAAAATGTCTCACTTAACAACAGGAGTTTGGGGCTGCATTGTGGACGTAAGTCGAGGACTGCCTGTATAAAAAGGTGGCTGAGAATGAGGGCTCCGGCTGGGAAAGCTACTCAAAGGCAGCGGAAGGCAGGGCTGGAGCCCCTCGGTGGTCCCGGAGGCAATGCGGGAGATAGGAACAGCTGCTCAGGGCCCCCTGCCCATCCTTCCTCACATCGGCCTGGCTCCTGTCCCTGGCGGCCTCCGCCCTGGCCAAGGGCACAACTCCGGGGCTCACCCGGCCACTTTCTTAGCTCTTCCACGTTATCTTGGGGTTTACACAGAGAGCAGCCTCTCTTTGCATGCAGGGGGTACACAACCTGGACAGAAAGGCAGGAGGTAATTTTATTACAAAGTCATAATTAGGCTTGGATGCTCTTCGATCCTAATCCTGAGAAGTGGTCACCAGAGAGATTCACAGGGCAAACTCACCTGGCTTGCTAAACTACAACTTATTTTAATGGTGGTTTGTGGGGAAGGGATATTTTCAAGGTGGTTAATTTTCCTGGTTCCCTGTAGGTAAGCAGGAAGGGGTCTTCCCCTCACCCCGCTCCCTTCCCCAATTCCAGAGTCCATCCACGGAGCTCTGCTGGGCTTTTCTGGGTTGAAACTCCCACCCCTCAGCCCTTCCTGTCCTTTTCTCCCCACCCATCCTGTGGCGAATCCTCTAAGATCAGGTCTCTGAAGTTGGCTCCCACGGAGACTTCTTGGAAACCAAAGCCTCTGAATCACTCCGCTCTGAGTCACGGTCCCTGCCGTGCCTCTTAATGGGGGGGAGGGAAAGAGAAAGGGAGAGGGAGAGGGAGAGGAAGGAAGGAAGGAAGGAAGGAAGGAAGGAAGGGAAAGGAAAAGGAAGAGAGGGTCCCCGTGGCAAGCGAGCCCAGGCGTTTCTTTCCTTCTCACTTCCCTTTTCTTCTAGGTCTAGGGGTTCTGTCCAGCCTTCCTTCCCCTGCCAACATCAGTTACATCTTGGATGAGAGCAACTGCATCTTAAGCGTCCAGTGGGACCCACCCAGTTCCCCCAAGAACTGCTCTGGGGAGCTGTATTATCACACTGCTCTGCACAATGGCAAAGCGTGGTTCGAAGAGGTGAGCCTTCTCCTTCCTTGGGTCTCGGGTGAAATCGGGGCAGAGGGGCAGAGGCTGATGGTCCCCAAGAGGCCCGGCTGCCGGGGAGGGAGGGAGGGAGGGAGGGAATGGGTCCCTCTGGTAAAATCTGAGAAGGAATTTCCTGAGGGGAACCAGGAGCTTCCCAGGACCCCCCCAGCAGGACCTTCTTCGGAGTGGCCCCTCTCTGGTGAATAGCTTACAGCGTCCTCACCTTATGACCACAATCAGGACCAGAATTTCTGTTCCTAAGCAAGACAGTTATTAAGTGAGTTGCGCTTTATTTCATAACTTTTTTTTGCCATGGTTGTTAAGCAAATCACTGCAGTTGTTAAGTGAATCACACAGTCATTAAATGAATCCAACTTTCCCCCTTGACTTTGCTGATTGGGAGCCAGCTGGGACGGTCTCAGACGGGGACCACGTGACTCCAGGGTGCCGCGATGGACATAACCCCGGCCGGCCGCCCAGGGCCCAGAGATTGGTCCCCTGACCCTGGGGACGCTGCAACAGGGAAGGGCTGCGTCTCGCTTTGGCCCTGCGGCTTTGAATGGCCGGGAGTCAAGGAATTCTGGGAGTTGAAGTCCACAAGTCATAAAAGGGCCAAGTTTGAAGACCCCTGCTCTAGAGCTTAGAGCGGAATTGCTGTCTTTTCTGACCTTAGAAATTAAACTGGCTTGGGGGGGGGCATTCTCAGGAAAGGGCCGTTCAAGAAGCTGAAAAATTGGAAGGAGTTTGGAGTTGGGGGCAAATAATCCAGGGTGGGAGTCCCCAACCTTTCTGGCTCCGAGGACTGGCGGAGAGAGGATGTGCCTGCCTCTCACACATGTGCCTGCCATTTGCACAGATGGAGCCTCACACACTCAAGCGCTTGCCTGCCACTTGTGCGCCCTGGTTCCCAATGGGTCACAGATTGGTATCGGGCTGTGGATTGGGGGTTGGGGACCCCCTGATCTAACGGACCCTGGTGAAGCTGAGAGAGAAAGAAAGAAAAGAAGAGACATAACAGGGCAGGGAACTCCCCCCAGGAGACACGCTGGGATCGTCCTGTTACAACTGAATGTTCTTCCTTTTCCCATCTTTAGAAATGGAGCCAAGATCTGTCCAGGAAAATGGCGATCCTTCTAGGGAGAAATATGTTTTTTGGGCTACAGACGACTTGTGACAGTGACAAAGAAGGGGAATGGTTTAAGATCCCACTGGCACAAAATGGTAAATCTTCAGCCGCTGGATTTACGCAGATGTTCCTGTAAGATTGATGTCTCGAGTAATCACACCAGCCTCCCCAGATGTAAACATCCCAGGCCACTTTCCTAGAAAGGAGCTGCGAGGCTGGGGCCCCTTCAGCCCATGAACTGGGCTAGGCAGCTCCTGAGAGTCAAAGGCGCAGGGGAGTTTGGGAGGGTGCAGGATGAGAGCCTGGGGGTGGGGGAAGTCTGGGAGCCTCCTTAAAGCAGCTGCAGGGCCAAAAGTGGGCTTGCTTCGAGGGATCAGAGACCAGCTTCCTTTTGCACGCTGCCTTGACAGGAGCACAAGCAAGACCCCCACACGAACTTGGATGCTGGTGCAAGTGCTTTGATTTGCATAGATCCAGTCTCTGCTAGTAGAAAACTCCAGGGGTGGGGGTGGGGATTTTGGGAATTGCTGTTTCCCACAAGGCATAAAGTTGCCAAGGTTGGGGACCCTGGCCTTAGAATGAATGAATACAGCAAAGGCCATTTGGGCAGGTGAATTTAATCTGGGCTTAAGCTGGGAATTTCAGAACCGGGGAATGTTAAGGCTTTTCCTCCTTGCTTTTGGGCAGCTGGGAATTTATACGCAGAGGGATAGACCGTTCTTCTGGCTTTGCCCTTTGCAGGCCGAGCAGAGACGGGAGCTACGAATATCAGTTGCGTTTGTTATAACCTGAAATGGATGTCCTGCTCATGGAAGCGAGGAAGGAAAGCGCCTCGTGACACCAGCTACCATCTGTACTTCGGGTTTGTATTTCAAAATCCTGCTCTTTTCTTAGCCCGGCTTCCCCATTGACTTTGTTTGTCAGAGGGTTGCAAAAAGTGATCACCTGACCCCGGGACGCTGCGACCGTCATAAATATGAGTCAGTTGCCAAGGATTCAAATTTTGATCACTTGCCCATAGGGATGCTGCAACGGTCCTAGGTGTGTAAAACGTTCGTAAGTCACTTTTTCCAGTGCTGTTACAACTTCAAACGGTCACTAAATGAACTGTTGTAAATCAAGGACTATCTGTACTCAATAGGCTTTTGCTTTTTTTTCACACTCCGAAGTTCCAGGACAGAACTGAAAAAGGTTTTAATCTAGTGTTTATCACTCTTGGAATCCATTTGGATGCTCGAGTGGAAACTGAAAGAAGATCCAGGAATAGCCAAGCTTTTCACCAATAAGAGGCAGATTAAATCAAGGGAGAGATTGGAGGAAAGACACAGTTGTCCTCTCTTTCTGCAGCTTGGGACTGTTAGTAACACCCTCCAAGCTGATTCCCAACACAACACTTCACATCTGCCAGAGGCGGCCAGCTTCATCTTCAAGTTTTTTTAAAAATCTGGTTTAAATTTTTGCTTTGTTTTCTGCCCTGTCCCAGTCCTTAAAATTATGCTGCAGATTAATCTCTTGGATAAATTTAAATGAAATGATGACATTTATTTAAGGGGAAGTTAGTGATGTGTCAAAATGCTCTTTGTACGTCTTCAGACAGACTGCCAATCTCCACGGCTTGTTCAAAGGACGAGTTGCTAGATTTCAGAATAGCATTTCTGAAGAATTGCCTCTTAATAGAACATCTGCATTCCAAATTCTTTAGCAATTCATAATATTTCTCAAAGTTTTATCTTATTTTTGAACCATACTGGAGAAAACGGGGATATTAGAATATTATTTATGTTTGATGTTGTGATAGATTTTTAGCTGTAAAAAAGAAATGCCTGCTGTTAGAAGGCTAAAAACTGTTTTGGTTTAGTCTGACTGTAATCACACAATCTTGCAAGTCTGATTGTGCTGCTCCCCTCCTCCTCCTCCTTGTAGTTCAGTGTTTCTCAATCTTGGCAACTTTATGATGGGTGGACTTCAACTTCCAGAATTCCCCAGATGTTAAAGAAACAGTGCTGACAAATATTGCTGCAGCTCAATTATAATCAACACCTTGCGCTTCAAGGTGTTGATTATCACCTTCAAAGCGCTCCATGGCATCGGACCTGGATATCTCCGAGACCGCCTTCTGCCTCAGATTACCTCTCATCGGCCGATACGCTCCCACAGAGAGGGTCTCCTCAGGGTGCCGTCAGCCAGACAGTGCCGGCTGGCGACCCCCAGGGGGAGGGCCTTCTCTGTTGGAGCCCCCTCCCTATGGAACGAATTACCCCCAGAGATCCGGGTCATTCCGGATCTCCCCTCCTTCCGCCGTGCCCTCAAGACATGGCTATTTCAGCTAGCAGGACTGGCCTAAGGGGTAATTTTTAGTTGGGTTTTAAAATAATTTTTAAAATAACAAAGGCCAAATTAATATTTCCTTTTAATTATGTTTTTAATGGTAGTATTTTGTACTTTTGTATCTGTTTTTATTAGGCTGTTAGCCGCCCTGAGTCCGTAAGGAGAAGGGCGGGGTAAAAATACAATTAATAATAATAATAATAATAATAATAATAATAATAATAATAATAATAATAATAATAATAATAATAATAATAATAATAATAATAATAATAATAATAATAATAATAATAATAATAATAAAGGCTTCTGAATATTATCTTGTCGCTTTGGTCTTAAAAAGAAGGTTCGGTCCCCTTGTCTAGGCAAGAATTCCCACCTGTCTCTGTCAAGGTCATCTTCCTGACTCTCTGCATCACCCAAGCTAACACTACATCTGTTGGTCCCAAAACTGGAGAAAACCCTGTGGAGTGAGCATCTCCGTTCTCAGTTCCTCCCGTTGCACTTTGTCGTTGCTTCCATCTGTCCTCTCTGATCAGCAAGAACAGATCAACTTGCTCACTTCTGTTTTTCCTCCCACCCTCAGGCACGACAACATGGAAAAAAGGCAGCTGTGCACAAATCACAGCATCAGTGGAGACACCTTCCGATGCATTTTTCCGATCAACTGTTCCGGAGAACGTGACCTTGTTCTTTCTGTCCGTAGCAATTCTGAAAACATCCAGCCAGTGTGCATGTTTACAAAAGAAGGTTCAGAAGAGTCTGGTAGGTTTTCCCGCTTGATGTGGTCCAGCCTCTGTAAGGAAACGAAGGGAGGTCTCCTTCTAGCCCCTCCTGAGGGTCCCAATTCTAACCTTTAGAGTTAGAACTGTCAAGGTGAGCTTGAAGGAGACCTTCCTTCAGAACTGGGACCCTCCAGCAGAGGACCGTCCTCACCCCCCTTCTTTAACCTTTAAAGTGTCCCACCACAACCTGAGGAAATCTCTTCCCCACCTGCGGCACTTTACAAGGTGTGCAGGACCCCTTGGAAGACCCTGTCATGTACATTTTACAGGTAGTCTTCAACATAGTAATGAAGCCTGCTCATTATGGCTGCATTCTGTAATTGTCCTAAAAAGAGGTTGGCCATTTGACCAACAGGATTTTATTACCTTTTTTGTGTTGATCGGTAAGCCAACCAATGCTTCATTACGGGTGAAGTTTTATCAAAAAACGGAAGTACATGGGACTGGGAGACAGTTCATTCCCATCACGGTTGCAAACTCTTCTGAATTTGGGCACCGAGTGCTTGCTGTTTGCCAAGGTGGCCCTGTGTTTGAAGGCACAAAAACAAGTATCTTCTGAGGAGAGCCCACACAAAGCTGAGCATCTCTAGGTGAGATGCACAAATGGGTATAAACCCCTTATCTTAGGAGAGATGCACATTCAAATGGATAATTGAACAGAAACTGACCCATCAAACTTCAGGTTAGCAGAAAATTAGAACAGAGTGAAATGGAAATTACAGTTGATTGATCTCCATGTACTTGTAGGAATGATAAATATGGCATTTAAACAAGAGTGCAGCACCCGCTTGTCTGTTTTCCTTCAGATTATCCAATAAAACTTGACCCACCAATAAATCTGAAAGTGATGCCGGGCATTAACGTTATTTTTCTAACATGGCGGGCTCCGAGTATCTGGAATGGCATATGCTATCAAGTAGAAATGAATGGCATTGAAAAAGAGGTAAGCTGCCTTTGTGTTTAATTTATTTCTTTTCTTTTTTAAAGCAGCATTGTACCACTTGAAATATCTTGCGTGTAATTATCTTGGCATCTGAGTTGTCTACAAACTGCTTTAAGGCACAATTAAGCCACAAGGATTTAATTGTGACCACTCCAGAGGGGTTGGGACTCCAATCCCCATAATTCCTAATCAGGATGGCAAAAGCGAGGATAACGTTTATCTCCATTGTTGTCATGGATAGAAAGTTTCTGCCACCTTAGATTGGTTTATGCTGCAAAAAATTAAGAACAGTGGGAGGCAAATTGTAGGTGGTGATGTTGTGGTTTCTGTAGGAAGCAATATAAACATAGATTAGATCAGGGGTAGTCAACCTTGGCTCTTTTATGACTCGTGGACTTCAACTCCCAGAATTCCTGAGCCAGCTAAGCTAAGCTGGCTCAGGAATTCTGGGAATTGAAGTCCACGAGTCATAAAAGAGCCAAGGTTGACTACCCCTGGATTAGATGATATGATGATGATAGTGACCACAACAGTCTGATCACCAGCCTCATCCAGGGAGATCCCATTCAGGAAGACTGAAAATGGATTCTTGTATATGTCCCTTGGTGGAATATCCTCTCTGAAGATTGTGGGGAACTTAGATCATCCATGATTGTTTTTTCTAATCCTCTCTGTGAAATTCCCAGAATTCTTTTGGGTCATTCTGGTTAGGGAATTCTTGGTGTCCATCGTCCCAACAGAAATGGAGAGAACCAGGTTTGATTCATGGTTGAGAAGACCCCCTGCCCTGATCCAGGGAAGGGGTCCCTGTACCCTAAAGCTCTTGGTATATAAAACGGGACCTAATGGGGCCCTACTCTAACTATTCGTGAGGCAAAGGATCTCTTCTCCTTTAAAGAGAAAGATGACCTGAGAGATAGTGAATGTCTCTTTTTCAAGCAGCCTAATCCTGTTCCTTGACAAAAATCCTATTTCACACAAAGGGGTCAGGTTATGGATTTGTGGAGTTCACTCTTCCGCCTCTTCCTCAAAGACAGATGTGAAGACCCTTTTCTATCAAATCCATTAAAACTTCTAGGGTCTATGAGCGGACCTCAACTTCCAGAATTCCCCAGCAGGCATGGCTGGGTGGGGAATTCTGGGAGTTGAGATCCACCCATTTTAAAGCTGCTGAGTTTGAGAAACACCATTCTAGTGATTGATGGGTAGACAATGAAAACCTGTACATGTTTTTTCTAAAGAGTTACGAAGACAGTACCAACATAACCATCCACCTTGAGCCCAAGAAGTATCACAAACTCAGAGTGAGGGCTGTGCTGGGCATGATCGGCAGTCAGTGCAAAGAAGTACGAGGTCTCTGGAGTGAATGGAGCGAGCCGGTTTTCTGGGGTGAGTCCGTTTTCTTTAGTTCTCACCTGTGTTGTCTTTGCTGAGGTCACCTAGAATGAAAGCAGTTGGTTCCTTAAAGGAATCTGACCTTGGAGTGGTTGATAGGATGGGAGTGAGGAACTGGGCATTGCATCTCTGAGCTTGTAGCTTCTGATTAGTCTTTCTGATCTGGTTTACTCCTCCCTGTAATCTATTACTCGTTGGAGACAGTTTTTTCCCTGTTAACTACTTCCCAGTTCTTCTAATTGGAAATGCTTTCAGCATAAGAATCTTGTCTCCTTTCACTGTAGTTTGCCCTTTGCAAATCAGAACTTCATATATGCATGTGGCTGCTTGGACACACCCAATTTATTATTTAGGTTGTCAGCAGGGAGAGCTGCCCTGGCAAACACCCCCTCCCCCCCCCCAGGATCTCCTTGCCAGCCCCTCTCAATGATTCCATTCCAAGGAGGAGTCCACTGAGCATTCATGCTCCAAACCCACGATGTTTCCAGATGTCCTTTTCTAGCTGTGCGAAGCATCAACCACATCCTTTGGGGACATCTCTATTTTCTTGACCAGAACTCTAAATTGGAGTTCCATGTGAAGTTTCCACAGTCTTCCTTGACTGTTCTGAAGGAAATGGTTTAGCACAGGAGGGGAGCAACAGTGGGCTGTTCTTGCATCATTCTAGCTTCATCTAGAAACAGTGTCACCGTCCTTGCCTTTTTAGATGACCGGGACAAGTCTGAAATATTGAAGCTTGTTTTGTTCATCATGATTCCATTATGTGCTGCAATCTTGACTATCATTCTCCTCATTTATCTGAAGAGGTAAGAAACTCACTGCAGAGATTTAAAGACTTTCCTTCTGCTGAATCTGCATAGTTGCTGGGCATTTGTGATGAAGACAGAAAAAATGAAGGCCTTTGCTAAAGACCTACATCGCTTTGCCCAGCCCATGGAAAAGAGATGGAAAACCCCAAACTTTCCAGTCTGGAATATTCTAATTATTTTGTTCTCTCCACTCTGCAGAATTCAGCTGTTGATCTTCCCAACAATTCCTGACCCTGAAAAAGTTCTAAAACGAATGTTTGAAGAACAAAGAGAGGAGTATTTGCCCACTGACTATTCATCTGAACTCATTAAACCCGATACCATCAGTAGGTAGACTAAAAAATATGGGGAGGTGTATCAGTGGGTTTCTTTGTGGAATACACTGACCTTTGAAAGTTGAACAACTAGTTCCTGAATTAATCCATTTCACAGAAGACACTGGCCCAGAATTGAAGCCTGTCGGTTGGCTTCACTCAATGTGCTAAGCCACAGAAATGTAAAACTGAAGTAATATTAGGCAAGCTTAGTACTTTGTGTAATTGTAACTGTTAGTGTATAGAAACACAGAGATAACCTTGAATACAGTATGCAAGAGCGGTTACATCAACACCGGCTTAGCCCTGAAAGAGAAGAAAGGGACACAAGGTTGACACACACACCCTTCATTTTCTCAAGTATAAGAGGAGAGAAGAAACTCTGTTAGGCTTTCAAAACTCTGTTTAATAATTATCCTTTAACAGTAGAGATAAAAGAGTGTAATAAATAGAGTAGTCCTTATGGAGTCTGTTTCATGACCCAGCCTGTCCCACCCGATATCTTCAAGAACAACCTTTGAGGGAATCTAATCAGGTTTACTCCTAAGCAGAAATTAGTTCTTCAAGGCTGTGGTTGGGCTATCATGCACTTGAGGGCAGTTGAGGAATCTTCTGTTGTCCTTCTGCCTGCTGCCAGGACTTCTTGCCCCATTTCATCGGCCTTGTGTTTGTCTCTTGTCCCACAAACAGACCACAAGATGAGCTAGCCAAGGAAAACCGGTGTGCTTCTACTTGCAATGCCTACAGGAAACGAGAAAATTGGGTTGCTGTCTTTATATCAAATGACTTTTGAATGTAAACCAAGCAAGTCCAACACTGCAGGACAGAGACTGATCTCAGAGGTGACGGACAGTGTCTTTGGAGAAGCACCTTTGCACGCCTTCACTTAAAGACAGGAGAAGTGGAAATTCAATCTTCACTGGCAACTTCCTCTTTGTCACCAAAGTTATCAAAAACTGAATTTCAAGCCACACGGTAGCTTCTGTGAAGTAACACTGGCTCTAAAGGACTGGTGGTTTTATACAAATGTGTCAGTTCAACAGCCACACGGTTGTCTGCAATCCAACTGGCAAAGCTTGACTTCTCTTTTAGCCTTACACAAACGGTGTGGTAGAACTTAGCCCCGTCAGGATAAATCCAGAATTTCTCAAGAGGAGACAAAATAGCAGACAAGACTGGTGATGCTTGCATCCATTGTTATTATTCTTTTTCTTCTGGTTTTCGTGTCACTTGCTTGTTACAAGCACATGAAAGTTGAAAGTCTAGGAAGGGGTTTACGCATATCTTAATTGCCTAAGTTAGGTTTTGATAAGCCCATTCAGACCACTGGAAACGATAAGATGACACCACAGATCTGAAGCTGAACAAGGTGATTGTTAGCTTGGCTAGACCCCAAATGTTGAGCAATAGCCCAAGCCAGCAAATTACGCTAAAGGACTTGCGTGCGTGTCTAAATCCATGTTTACAGTGGTGTTTTTGAGCTGCTGAATTTATCTTCACCAGCAAACTTTTCTTTTCCTAGAAAACTATGAAAAGGCTTGAGACTATGTTTTTTTATGTATGTTTTTCAGGTTCTATAAAAAGTTTGTTATGCTTGAACCATTTTATGTAAAGAATGAACAATACTTTTTTCTAATAGAAGAAACTACTTTCATTTTATGATATACTTTGCGGGTTAGCACTTGTAAGGCCCCCATGGCTGATGTTCTTAGTGGTTGGTGAGCCTTTTTTTCATTGATTTGTTCTCAAGTTCATAGACCAGCCAGCAAAGGTTGGTTTTTGTGTGGGGGTTTGACAATAATTATCTAGCGTTTCTCAGTAAACAAAGTGGTGCCCTCCCTCGCTTTTCTTTTAACACATTCGCAACACAGCTTATAAAATAATAGTCTGATGAACAGTCATCAATGATAGTTCAGGACCTTGATGGATAAAAATGTAGGCACCAAGCGGCTATTCATCCAGAACATGGCAGGAACACCCAGGAAAGGATTCTGGAAAGTCCCTTTAAATCCAAGATGGTTAGATTTCTCCCTTTTTGGCTTTACTTTATTTTATTTATCAAATTTATTTGCTGCCCATCTTGTGGCTCAAGGCAATTCTGAGGTCTCTTGCTTTCTAAGGGTCTTCAAGGCCCCCTCCCTGATTCCAGTTTGGGCTTCAGATCTGTATGATGACAGGTGCTTGTTGAAAGGGAAGGTCACAATGGGGACCACCTGACCCCAGGTTGCTGCAAGCATCCGAAATATAGGTGGTTGCCAAACACCCAAATTTTGATTACGTGACTGCAGAGACATTGGCAATTATCGGCATGAGGCCCGGTTGTAAGTCACTGTCTTCAACACAGTCCTAACTTCAAATTGTCACTAAAGGAACAGCTATAAGTCGAGGACTATCTGTAATCAAAGAGCTTAGTGCTAGGATTTTCAGTCCGAAACAAGATACTTGGAACTGCTCAAAATCAGCAGGAGCCAAGTAGCAGTTTTGCTAGCCAATGCATTTTATCCACCTTCTTATCAAGCTTTCTAGTCCCACCAGAGGCTTGAAAAACTGGCTGGGTGACTTTGTGTTCTCTCTTGGCCCAACTTATCTCTTGTGGGGAAAGGAGGGGGAAGAGCCGTATCAGGTATGTGTCAAGTATGTTTACCGTCTTGAGTTTTTTTTTTAAAAAAAAGGCAGGATAAAAATCTAAAAACAAAAAAAGTCTTTTGCTACCTGGTTTTTGGCTGCCGTAGCCTGGCTAATCCAGCTCTCCTAGAACGGGGTTTCCTCCGTATCTTAGCAAGTGTTGAAACACCAGCTCAAAACTCACCTATTTCCTGTAACTTCCTCTTTCTGATTTCTGCTTGCTGTTTCTTCTAGACCCCTTCCTGTTTCATAAACCTGCCGGGCTGAATTTACGCCTTATACTTCTTCTTCTTTGAGGCGTTGTGTTTTGAGGTGGATGAAGATGGAAACACCGCAGGGTTGCTAAATTGTTCAGTGTACATCCCCATCTTTAACATACTTACGCACAGAGCAATATGCAGGTTGGGTCACAAGTCATGTGATGTCCTGGTTTTCTTTACCATGATTTGCTGAATATATCACAATAGGCTGGGTTTCCCTAACATGCTCAACCATGAGGGTGGAGGTTCGTTCTCCGAGCTTCTGGGTTGGTTTCCAAACGTTTCGTTACCAGGCTAGGTAACATCTTCAGCGGAATTTAGGGAATAAATTTAGGGAATATATTTCCTAAATTCCGCTGAAAATGTTACCTAGCCTGGTAACGAAATGTTCGGAAACTAACCCACAACCTCCACCCTCATCCTATATCAGAGCTACAGGTAATCACCTCTATCGCATACTCAGCCATAAACCATGGTGTAAACATGGCTGGTTCACAGAGCAGGCAAAGTCAAAACTGTACAAATCACATTATGGTTTCTTTTTTTTCTTTCTTTCGAGAAGCTAGTGATTCCTACTTGCCAGGAATTGGAGCAGCCTATATCTTTCCCCACACCATTTCTAACCTAAAGAATCCCTTTTGGAGGTTTTTTGGTTTTTTTGCAAGAAAGAGGTGTCGGGCCTCAGATTGGCCACAGTGTGTTCCCACATGATCCCATTTATTTATTCGTTTGTTTATTTTTAGAGTCTCTCTGTTTTCCATCTGTATCCAGCTTCCAAATATGGTAACAAGGCAGCCAGTCACATACCAATGGAATAGCAGCATCTGGCACAGGATCAACTAATTGCTCCAATCCTAAACAACGGATAAATGAGACATGTTGGGGAATCCTGAGATGTTGAAACTCAAGAAGGGCTTTTTTCTTTTTAATTCCAAAATGTACATGCAATTTTGGGAGATCTGCACAGGATGGATCGCAGATAATAAAAACAGAATCTTGTGCAAGAAATGAAGGGCAGCCTAAAATCTGATTGGTTGAATAAGGGTGACAAAAAGAGGTAATTTCTCAACCCTTTTGAACCATCTCTATGAAAAAAGAGCTACAATGTTGTATGTTGTTAGCTTTGTACATGTGATGAAGTTGGAAAATCGCCATTTACTACTTGTTAGCTAACTGTGAGAAGCCAGCAGCAGAGATTCATGGCTTAAAATATAAATTTTATAGGAATAACATCAGACGCCAGGGGGCAGAACGGAGCCATTAGGAATGGACACTGATTCCCACTACCCCAAAGAATATTTACAGCATCTTTTTAAGATCTTGCAAACTTTATCTTGCATGTGAAACAACATATCTTGCCTGTTAATGATGCAAACATTTTTTAAAAAAAAAAATCTTGCATGCGTATGACAAAAACAATCCCACCTTCAGAAACTATTTTTATGATGGACATTGGGGCGAAAAGAGGAACGCTCAACCATTATGAGAGCAGACATTGTCATAATCTATAAGAAATTGAACTACCAGAGGAGGGAGCGCATATTATAAAAACTGGCATGGGAAGAGTTGCAAAGGGCAGCGGATGTGGCCAATCAGTTCCCAAAGGGCTATCTTTTCTCGCCACACTAAGCATCAAACTGGATCCCAGACAGGGTGGATTATTCCACACGAGCACCTCTCATGATCTGCCCCGCAGGGAGGGAAGTCGGTGTAACTACTGTGACTCAGAAATGCCCTGGCGGTCAGAAGGCAGCGGTTGAACGAAGGTGAAGCTTTCATGAAAAAGGAAGCAGAGAAAGCAGGCAGGAAGTCCCATATGACTAAACCAATCTCTCTCTTACACATACTTAGAAGCCTCTTGTGCAGGGAGGGGGGGAGGATTCAGGAAGTTGTTTAAAAAGCGACCAGCATGCTATGTTTTCTAGCAAGACACGTTCAGATGGGCAAAGACACTCCCTGTTGGATTTCTGCCTGATAAACAGGGAAGAAACACCTGGGCCTCAGGTACCCTTGGATCAATCACTGGCCTGAATGACACCCTGTTGAGTGGCAGAGACTGCTAGCAACTCACCACAGGACAATTCAATGTGGGATTAGTTCCTTTTATTATTCATCAGAGCATCAAAAAAGCTGGTAGTCATAGGAGTGTCTTCCTTTGATATAAAAGATAAAATAATTCTGACAAAAAAGTGGTCGACAACAAAACAAAAAGGTGAATCCCGTGGCAAGTTTTCCTGCAGTGAGTTGGCCAGGAAGACGTCGTCCTGCAACAAGTTGACCGTGGGGAGTTGACCGCAGAGAATTGGCCATGGCGAGTTGACCGTGGTGGTTGCCCCGTTCTGTTCCGATGAAGCCTTCATTAATTCAAAGTAGCCAGCTGAATAGCCACCACGGCCACTGATGTACAGATGCCCAAATTATTGGCCGCATTATTTCCATTATGCGGCCAACCCCAGGGGCATAAGCAGCGTGCCCATGCTAGAGTGGCCCAACCTCTTTCCAGGGAGAATGACGCCGCTAGGAAGAGCCTTCCGCGGAGACCTCTGGGCGCTGGAGAGAGCAGGAGGAAACATCCTGGAACAGAGACGGTGAACCTTCTGGGCTTGGCATGTCAAAAATTCAGGAAATGCTTGACTGCGCTGCTGTGTCACACACACACACACCCCAGCAAAAGGGAAACAATTCTTTACATATTCACAGCCACTGATAATGTTGGGTGTTGGTGAACGCTGGCATGTCACCCAACACGTTATGGTCTATCACACGTGTGTCATAGGTCCACCATCACTGTCCTGGTGGAACCTTGCAGAGAAACTCCCAACGTTTCACTTTTAAGATGAACGACTCTTTCTGCACCTCGGCTCTTCTCAGGTTTCCAGAATTTGAAACTTGTTTACATTCTGTCCTCATAAACACAGGTAGTCCTCAACTTACGTTCATTTATTGAATGTTCGAAGTTACAACGGCACCAAAAAATGTGACATATGACCGTTTTTCACACACACGACCCTGATCAAAATTCAGACGCTTGGCAACTGACTCATACTTGTGACGGTGGCTGTCCTGGGATCACGCGATCCCTTTTTGTGATCTTCTAACAAGCAAAGTCAACGGGGAATCCAGAGTCACTTAACAAACCATGTTGCTAACTGAACAAATGCAATCATTCACTTAACAAGCAAGGTCGTAAAATGGGGCAAAATTCACTTAACAATTATCTTGCTTAGCAACAGAAATGTTGGGCTTGTGATCGTAACTTGAGGACTACCTGCATTTAATTAATATTTCTGGAGAAGTGTACTTTGCTTCCCAGGAATGCCTCCCCCCCCCTCACCCTTACTGTGGGCTGCTGTTAAAGTGCTAAAACCCCAAAGTCGACAAAATCAATTAGCACTTTTCATGCTATTTTTTAGCCAGGCTGAACTGACCAGGCAGTTTGGGAGTTCTGCCTTTGTTTTTTGGGTTTTTTTTTTACATTTCCTTCTTGCAAGGCCCGTTGCCGAGATACAGAGCATGCCACAAATGTTGATTTCAATGAAAACAGCTTCTTTTCACTCTCCGCGATTTTCTCAGGCTGCAGCGATTTTCTCAGGCTGCAGCGTGGAAGTGGGGACAAGAAGGAAGAGGCCCGGATTTTCTTTGCTGCTCCAGTGGGGAAACAAAGTGAGGACTGAGAATGTGCACTTAGTCTACTGGTATCTGAAGGCACAATTATCTGACAAGGCCCTGGATTTCCCACCTGTGGAACTGCGGATGTCCATCTCTCCATTTGATGCTCCTGGCATAAAATCGGCCATCCACATTGCCAGTTCGAGCCCTGCTTTTGTTCCCATCCATTGCCAGTCCTCCCCAAGGAAATGGGTGGCAGAACAGAAAGGATTTTATGCACCTTGAGGCTCCTGGATCTCTGTAATTAATCACAGTGATGTTGCTCAAATCGCCTTCTTCCTTGAGACATTTTGCTGGAAGTAGTATGAGGCTGGGGGTCCCCGAACAGAGTTTGCAGGGGAATATACTCCAGTTTCCTGCAACAACCCGAATCCCGGGGCTGGCTGCCCTTAGCCGTGTCAGACGAACCTTCCTTGCTATTTCTCCAGATGCTCCTGACTTGGAACACTTGGCTGTCAGCTCTTCCAAACTTCCTCGGGGACTTTTTAATTTTTCATTAACAGTTTCCTAGCCGAGAGTCTCGCGTTTCCACTGCTATAAAATCACCCAGTATGAACATCTCCGTGGAAATTTGGTCCCGGAGCCCCAGCCCGATTCCCTGATTTGGGTCGTCTTTTCGAAACGAGGAGAGAGGAACAAGACGGGACAGTCTCTGAAACGCTGCATCATCCCAAGGGTCATTGGGATGACCCGTCGTTGATTTTATAACTGTTTTCTTTTCTTTTTAAAAAGTGATTTTCTCTCCCCTGCACGTCCAGAACTCGAGGGGCCCCCAAACGCGCCTCCAAAGGGCAGCAACCAAGGCCGAGGAGGGGGCAGCAGAGTCTTAACTTAGCTTCCCCCCGCCCAACTTCCCCCTTCCCCGTTTATTCCGGAGGAAGACCCCGAAGCCTGGCTCCGGCTGCTCCTTCCAGGTAGGGGGCTTCTTTGCCGGGGGGGGGCAAAGAAGCGACCCCCGAGCCCCGCCGCCCCCAGGGAGCCTTGCTCAATACAGGAGGGGGCGGGGAGGATGCCCGGCAGGGGGGCGGGGGGGCGGCGACCCCCCCCTCCCTCTCCCGCCCCGCTCCGCTCTGCTCAGTCCGCTTTGCGATGCTTGCGAGCGCCGACTGCCTCGCCCGCACCACAACTCCCGGCAGCCCCTGCGGCAAAGACGGCGGCGCCCGCGCAGGGGCCGCTGGGAGCTGTAGTTCGGCGGGCGCCGGCTCCCCTGCGCGGCGGAAAGGTGAGCGCGGGCGAGCGAGCGGGCGGGCTGGCCGGGGCGGCGGCGGCGGGCGGGCGGCCCCCCAAGGACGGCGGGGGTCGGCCTCGGCGCCCCCCGCCCTGGGAGCAGGCCCGGGGCCCGGCGAGGCCCTCCCTGCCTCGGAGCCGCCGCCCCGCCGGGCAGGGCGGGCGGCGGGCCCGCCGGGCGAGGAGGATGGGCTCTGGAGTGGCGGAGGGCGGGTCCGGGGTGGGCCTGGGCGGGCGGGGCCTCTGCGGAGCCCCCCCAGCCTGCTTCTCCCGCCGCCTCCCCCGCAGGCCCCGTTGCAGCTGAGCCGCCTTCCTCCTCTTCCTCCCCGGAGCCGCCATGGCCCTCTCGCCCGTGGCCGTGCAGGTGCCCGGCATGCAGGTGAGCGGGGCCCGGAGGGGGGCTGGCTGGGGTCTTTGCCCACCCGCGGGGGTCGCCGGCCCTGTCGGGGGCCTGGGTTGCCTGGAAAGGGGGGGCTAGGGGTCCACACGGGCTGGGGGGTGCTGCTGGGCACCGGTGGGACCCCCCGCGGGACTGGCAGGTGGGCGAGGGGACCCCGGGGCTCGACTCCCTCCCCCTTCATTGAGGGGTCTTTGCGCCTGGGGGGGTTCACAAATTGTCCCCCCGTTTTCTTGGGGGGCCCTGGGCAAAGGCCAGGTGTCCGGGGAAGGGCGAGGGGCTGGAAGGGGTGGGGGTCCTGCTGCCAGGCTGGCGGGAGGGAAACACTGGCAGAGGCCAAATCCAGCTGCTGTTTTTTTGGAGTGGGGGGTTTTCTGTCTCGGGTATTTTTCTCCCCTGGAAAGAGTTGGGGGCTTCTTGGGAAGCCAAGCCAAAGGCTGCCTTGGGTCCTTCCTGACTTCCCAATCTGACTTTGCTCAAAAGGACAATAAACCTTCAGGTGAGTTTTATTTTCTCCATTGCCCCCCCTCACACACACCCCAGCCCCCAAAAGGGCTGATGAGCAAAAAGGATCCTGAAAGTATTGCTGGAAACTCTCCTGAAAGTGTTTTGATGCAGTTCAGACTTTGGTCCTTTTCCAGATTGTTTTGGATCTCCTGCAGAATCTGTTTGTAACCAGACGTTACATTCTGCAAAGGCTAATTTCTAAACCTGGGTGTTAAAGGTTGTTTAAATCATTTAATGTCATGTTTCATTCTTCTCATCCTTGCTTAATTCCATCTTGTTTTGCATCCTATTATTATGAAACAGGATCAGATGCCTAGGCGGGAAAGAGCACGGATTTTCCCTCATCCTTTTTAGTTTTTGCATGCAACCCGGCATCGGAAATGTATTTATTAGTTTGTTTGGAGCCTTTTATGCAGCTTTAATCCACAGGACTCTTAAGGGATGGACAGCTGAATTAACCATTGTTTATAATAAGGCAGGAAAGAAACTATCATTATCCCGGCTAGCCTGGGGGGGAATTAAGGGAGTGCATTTAGACACTTCCAGGTCAGGGACTCTTCACTATACATGGCATGTCATGATGAGGCCTCAAGTCACATTTTCTTTCCTCCTCTTCCCCTTCTTAAGCCTTTAGGTTCCATCTTATTCATCCTCTTATAAATGATAATTTGCTACTGGGAGCTTTAACCACCCAGGCCAAAGACCTGCTCTGTGCAGAAATCCAGAGTAAACCACCTCTGACAGATGGTTGACCTCCTTCTGCTTGAGCTCATCCAGCGAAGGGAAGTCTGTGATCTTTCTTGATAGTTGGCTCCACTATCAGGCTCTTAGGAAGTCGCTACTGTTTTCCAGGATATTTACTTGGAATCTGCTTACCTGTCCCTTTGGGCCGTTATTCTGGGTTCTGCGTTCTGGGATGATCCGAGAACAGGCTTTGATGTCCTTTGGAGACATGATTTGATACCCTTTGTGACATCCTGATAGCTGCTGCTAAATTGCTCTTTGTTCTTCTCTCAAGGTTAAACATTTCTAGGGCCTCCCTTCTGTCTTATTTTCCAGTTCCGTGGTTATTCTCTTGGCCGTTTCTGGATCTACTCCAGTTGGTCTGAACCCTTCCTATGTGTGTCGCTGAAAACTGAACACAGTGATCAACATGGAGTCTGATTAATGCAGCGTAAAGAGTGACTTCCTGTGTTTTCAAAACTGTTCTTCTGTTGAGGCCGTCTAAAATTCCATCTGCCTTTTTTGTAGCCATACCACATCACTTCCTCATACTCAAGTCTGTAAGCCACCCCTTTTCCTAGACATTCTCCACAAGTATCGTCCAGTACGGTGTCCCTTTTTCTCTACCTGTGCTTTTGATTTTCAATTTTCTTAACTTGGAGCAGGGTCTTTGTTAAATTTCATGCTTGCATCTTCAGGCCCTTTCTCTAATCTGTCAAGATCATTCTGAATTTTATTGCTATGGTCTAATAAGATACTAGTTACTTCCCTCAATTTTGTGTTATCTACAAATATGATAAGTATTCTCCCTCCAGTTTCTTCATGTGATTAATAAGAATGTGCACAGCCTGAGACTTAACCTTTGGTATCTCACATGGTATTTCCTTCTAGTCTGAGGAAGAACGATTAATGAAGAGTGCTTTTTGAACTAACTGTTCACTTAATTTGCATGCCACCCAGCCAAAGCTTATCTAGTTTGATAAACCTAGTGATGCAGTATGTTTTGCCAGAGGTTTTGCTCAGATGAAGATAAGCATCAGGTCTAAGGCAAATGTGGAACAATCTACTATGGCGCAGTTACCGAATCAAGACTTGAAATAAAGTTAGCCTATCAGGATCTGTTCTTAACAAACCCCTGTTAAAGTTTGCAAGGTGCTTCCTTAATTTGGTAGATCATTGGCTAATCTGCTCCACTCTTCCTAGGAATTGGTGCATGTTTCAGGACCCCTCTTTTAAAGGCAAAGACAATGTCTCCAACACACGCAAAGTAAAAGTGTCTCATCCGAATGCAGGAAGTGGATGAGTGAAACACAGTCTGGGTTGGTTTTTCATGTGAATTCACCAAACATCAGTGTACTCGTTCTTCTTTGAATAGATGTGAAGTTTAAGTAGTGAGTTGCCAGTTTTCCAATCTTGGTTTGGGCCTCCTGTTTTCCATAGCCTAATGTTGTTTTGAAAAGAGTATTTCCAGTATTTTTGAAGTTGTGTACAAAATTAATCGCCCTGCCTTCCTGGTGAATGGGATAATTCTCTGTTAGCCACCGTGTATTTGATGAAGGTTATCTATGCCTTACAGTATCTCCCCCCATGTTCCTTGCTCCTGTGAGCTGGCCACAAGTTTATCATAGCCCTGCGTGCAGGAAGTGTAGCTCAATCCAGCTCTCTGTTTGTTCAAGGCAGCACGCCGTAAGCGTCAAATACTGAGAAAAGGCCCGTTGGTTTTCTTCTCTGCTGAGAATTAGGGCCTTTGAAGCTGCTGATTAGAAGCGATTGTGCCGAGTGCCCGGCCCTGCTCAGATGCCACAAACGTTGAGCACTCAAGAACTTTTCCAGCGGGCAACGTTTGACAGGAGAGCCACCAGGAGGATCTGGAACAACCACAGAGAATTAGGTGTTGAAACAGACATTTTCATTGTTGCTTTCTGTGGCACATTAAAGCCTTCAGTTCTTAGAGCACCGTGATCCTTCAGGGAGCGAGTGGTTGTTTATGTCATGGCTATATTTACATCCGTGTTTTAACTTGTAGACTGTTCAGTTCAAGTTGGGGCAGGCTGATCTCTGCGCTTCCACTTGTATTATAAGGGTTAATCTTGGTTGCGTATGTTGAGTTTTGCACAACTTAGCTTTGCCTTCTACACACTACCTATCCCCCCAAGGTGAAGCTACCGGGTGTCCCATAGATTTGTGGCCTGCTTCTGCCCAATTTTATAGTTCCAGTTGGCTGTGCTGATGGATTAAAACATGTCCGAAGAGTCTGGAATCGCAAAGCTTGGTTTATTAAAGTTGGAGAAATGGAGAGTGATGTAGGGCTTTCTGACATCTAGACAGCAATTATACGGCCCCTTTTAATTATAACCAGATTGATTGGCGGGCCATGATGTTTCTCCCCCAGGTTTCCCCCACCAGCTCCTTAGAACTACGTACCTGTCTAGGAATAATGTACTAACATGTGAGTAATGTATGGTGTGACATCTCACCAATGCTTGAAACAGTCTTCTAAATTCAGATGAAGTCTTAACTTGATTATCAGCTCGGCTGAGGCTCAGTCCATCGTATGTTTGTGCTGTATTTTCCATGTGTGCAGCGTTCAGCGTTAGCCAGGTAATTCAGTTAAAATACGTTTTTGTAATCTTAAAATGTACACCGAGGAATATGGGAACTTGACACAGTCACTTGATCAGGCTGATATTAAGCTGATATTCACCTTGAAATTTCTCTCCCCCTTCCTAAAAAAGCATTGCATATGTATGTATGTATGTATGTATGTATGTATGTATGTATGTATGTATGTATGTATGTGAAAATGAATAGTTCATTACAAATTCTTTCAGCTTAAAAGATTGTGAAAAAAGAATGGGTGAAGGGGGAAAACCCCCCATTTTCCTCAGTTTACCTTGTGGATTTGCCAGCAATTTCAAGGCACCCCTTTGATGTTCAGATTTTAAAATCTGATCTGTTTTGCCCAAACTTTCCCTTTTTGAATTATTTTTATTTTTGCGCTCTTCTGAATTTCTAGAATAACTTGGTGGTTTCCCTCAAAGCATTCTGCCATACTGTCAAGATAACAAAATACTATTAATGAAACATCTCCTTGTTTGTTGTCTTTAGATCCTAAACTTAGATTGGATTATTATTTAAAGGGAAGACAGATGATCTGAACAATCCTTTCTTCCATGTATTTAAATTGCTCCTCATGCCATCTTTCTTCCTCCACGCTCCTAATAAAGAAAGGGACCATTATATGATTAAAAGATAGGAAAGGATTTGGCCACTTCTAATTATTACCATTATTGAAGCTTGTTTGCTTATCCTGTTACTTTGTTCTGGATGGTGTTGAAGTCCCTGTGGCTTGTTTTCAGGAAGTGTAAACTGATCTGAAATTCAAGATCCCCTAATAGTTTCCCTGTGGGAAAAATGTGAGCGTTCGGACTTTGAGCCTGCACCACCGTGTGTACCTTCAGGCGGAAATAATCGCAAAACAATCCGCTGATTCATTTCTTTCTCACAAGTTGATTGTAAATATTTCTGTTTTCGGTTTGCGGAGACCCTTAGTTGCATTCAGCGCTCTCCTTTGTTGTCTCTATTGTTGAGATTCCAAGACATTTATTTCATTGACAAAAAAAGTAGTACTCAGAAATGGATCTCACTAAAAATCCATTAACGGTGGAAAGCCAAATAGTGTTTTAACAGTTTCTCAAGAATCTTAACTGGCTGACAGATCCCTGTTTATCTAAGTTTGCAGTCTCTGGGCGCTGTTTTAATGAAGGGCAACGATTTGTTGTACATTTTATAAGAACAAGATTCTTCTTGTTGTGCTTGCTTTGTTGTCATCTCGATGAAGCTTTGTCGGGAAAAAAGGCACTTTTCCTCTTGAGTTCCAGATTACTTTGCGTTTATAACTGGGAGGATCAAACACTGTTGATTAAAGTGTGTCTTTACAAAAGACAGAGAGCTTGGAAAACACAACGCCTTGTTCTCGACTTCAAGCTCAGACAGCCCTCCCTGAAAAGCAGCTTTATGCTCCGGTTTGGCCTCTGAAGCAGCCAGTCTGATGTTCGTTTGATGGATGGCTCTGTAATTCTGAGACTTGTTAGCATGTTAAATTTCAGAGCCCAACTTAAATTTTGCGTAGGCTGCGCAGTTACAGCTAACAATCCTTCTGTTTTGAGGACCTAAAACAGAGGAGGAACTTCTGTGCATGTCGGACTTCTGTTTTTAAACTGGAGGGTTTTAAACAAGTTATGCGACTTAATGAAATTGTTCAGTTATTTCTCTGCAGGGCCAGAGCTAAGGATAAATGATCTAGTTAATCCTGAAGATTTTATAGGTGACCCAGACAGGGTTTGGTAATAACTGGTTCATCATATGGGGTAATCAGCACATTGCATGAACCAAACCATCAATTCAGACATCATGGGTGTAGAATGGTAGAGGATAAGTCTTGGCTGACTGGCTGGGGAATTCTGGGAGTTGAAGTCCACAAGTCTTAAAAGTTGCCTAGGTTGAAAAACACCAGACTAGGTGATCTTTCTGGTCCCTTCCAACTCTATCATTCATGACTGGTTGGGGAATTCTGGGAGTTGAAGTCCACAAGTCTTAAAAGTTGCCAAGATTGGGCACCTCTGTTGTAGAACAAGAGCACCATCAATCCTCTTGCTTTCTCTCTCAGTGTGACTGTTTTCTCAGCGTCCCAGGGGCCTTGGGAGAGCTTTACGCATGCAAATGTGGGTTGTAAATGCTTCCAAGATCCGGTCTGGTCTGAATGCTGGATTAGTTAATGTGCTTACGTTTCTTTCAACTGGAGCGATCTTTGCATAGAGCTGCTGTTGCGCTTTTAAACAGGATTTTCAGGGGCAGCTGTTCTAAAAATACATCAAGTTCTGGAAATTCCTGCTTGACTTCCAAATGCCTGGAACCCAAGGCATTGACACTCCTGACTTGCTTCAGAAGAGAAAGAAAGAAAGAAAGAAAGAAAGAAAGAAAAAGAAAGAAAGAAAGAAAGAAAGAAAGAAAGAAAGAAAGAAAGAAAGAAAGAAAGAAAGGGCGATGTTGCCTTGGAAGAATGTGCTTGTTTCTCAGATGTTTGAGGTGCTCTGTCAGAACATCTTGCAATGGCCTGTCTGTGTACAATGAGTAACCTTGGCCAGTTGTGCGGAGCCAAAGCCCAAGATGTAGAAATGGAAGTTTCCATGAGGATATTGAGCTTTTCCAGCGAGAAAGGAAGGCCGCCGCCTGTGTAATTATCAGTTGGTTTCTAAAGAGAAACAATTAGGCAAGCGGGAAATGTTGCACAACCATCGGTGCTTGTGCACGAAAGGGACAATTTAGAACTTGTTCTGGGAAAGTGGCTCTTTTCGGCAAGGTTGGGATCCCTGAGGCTTTGTAGAAGCCCTGAGCTGCAGAACATCAAGGGCCATCCATCTTCTGCCAACACTGCGGGATCACCAGTAGACCCCCAGTCTTCAGCCAGAATAGAGCTGGATAGAGTAGACCACAACTCTCATGGTCCCTGGCTAGTACCTTAGACCAGGAGTCTCCAGCCTTGGCAACTTTAAGACTTGTGGACTTCAACTCCCAGAATTCCTTAGCCAGCCAATGTTGGAGTGCCCTGCCTTAGACTCAAACAGCAACTTAAACTTACTTGGGAGTAGGTTCAACTAATGTAGCAGCTTCTGAATTCCTCTGGACTGCCTGGTGGGCCATTCTGTTCTTCTAGCCTGGCCATCCTTTTCTGTGACTTGGAACGTGACCTCGGACTGAGCCCCCAACTCAGTTTCCCCAGACCGGTGACCTTACAGTCCTTATCAAGGTCCTTGCTTTCTTTTGTTCTTTTCCCGGGCAAGCGAGTCATAATTGCCACCATCCACCATTTCTGTTTTGAGGCATGCTTGCAAATGGACATGTTGGCGAAGGCCAGTGATGTAAGCGATTTGTTGCTTTCCCACAATCCCTCTTGAATTCCGTTGACCCTGATCTGGTGCTAATTTAGTGTTGAACTTTAGTGGGTCACATTCTTGTACATAGGCTTGAATAAATCATCTACTCAGGGAGTCCTCGGCTTACAGCCACAATGGAGCCCAAAATTTCCATTGCTAAGTGAGGTATTTATTAAGTGAGTTTTGCCCCATTTTATGACCTTTTTTGCCGCAGTTGGTATGTGAATCACTGCAGTTGTTAAGTTGGGCACATGGTCTTCCCCGTTGACTTTTCTTTTCAGAAGGTCACAAAAGTCCCTGGGGACACTGCAGCCGCCATAAGTACGAGTTGCCGGGTGTCTGAATTTTGATCAAGTGACTCTGGGGATGCCGCAACAATCATAAGTGTGAAAAACTCTCATAAGTCGCTTTTTCCAGTGCTGTTGTAACTCCAAACAGTCACTAAATGAACTCTTGTAAGTTGAGGACTGGCTGTAACTCAGTCTTACGGATAGTCCTTTGCGCCCAACTTTGCTGTTGACCAAGGTCACCTCTGGTTGATGACGACGTACTTTCTGAATGTTGAAAAAGTCAGGTGGAACCAGCACTGCAGTGGGTGTCAAGGAAGTTGCAGGCATGCGGTGCCCTCAGGGCTGTGACTGGGATCCAGATCTTCCAAATCGCCCCTGTGGCTAATTAGGGAGAGCCAATTAAAAGAGTAATTTGTGTGGTGATACTTAGAAAGAGAAACTGAAAGCATTTCTTACCTGACCTGCTCTCCTCCACCCCAGGGTATGTCTGTCTTCCAAACTTCTAACAAGTAAAATAAAAGTGAACATATTAAAAAATGTGCAGTTGCACACTTGGATACAAATTACGAGATTGGCCACACAATTGTTCCCAGGATTGGGAGTAGCTCCCCTGCAGATTTTCAGGAAGAGACCCCCCCCCTTATTTCTGGTAACATCCCCCTTGAAGTGGTGCACCTGGCCTCTTCAGCTGAGCTTGTCCTCTTGGTCCCTTCCAGAACCACCGAGCTGATCCCGAGGAGCTTTTCACCAAACTGGAGCGCATCGGGAAAGGCTCCTTCGGAGAAGTCTTTAAAGGCATTGATAACCGGACGCAACATGTGGTGGCCATTAAAATTATCGACCTTGAAGAGGCCGAGGATGAAATTGAAGACATCCAGCAGGAGATCACGGTGCTCAGCCAGTGCGACAGCCCTTATGTCACCAAGTACTACGGCTCCTATTTGAAGGTAACAGAGACCGTTGAACATGGGTGGTTTTGCAAGGGAGGGGTGAAGTTGGGGGGGTCCAGGTTCACATGGAGCCATGATAGTGTGGAACGTGGTACACCCCGTTCAGCTTTGGTTGGTTGTGTTTGGAGTGAGCACGAATACTTTACCTTCTAACTCGGAAGGTGGCAAGCGTTTTTTCTCCACATCTGGAGTCAGCTAGCCCTGTTTTACTCCAGGTATGGTCTAGGCATGCACGTTTCAGTCCAGACACGACCCATCCCAAACCCTGTATGGAAGAGTTCATGTATGAACTTCCAGTCTAGACTATCACAGTCTCCAGATTCCACAGGAATTGCAATACAAAGTTGTGTCATCCTCGCCAAAACATAATCAGAATTGCATCTGAGTTCTGCTGTGGATTCAAGGCTGTGATGGAAAAAATCAGGAGGAGAAGCCATTGTTGCACCTTTTCTGACCAACAAACATTGTTCAGAGGCTTCTGAATGATAGACTAACACATCTCTCCTCCTCCAAAGACTAAACGTGTCCTACTTTCTACCTGCATTAAACATTCTTGGTTTGTAATGGTTAGCCAAGTGGCCTGTTGGATGCCAAGGGGCAAATGGTCCACACCCAGTTGCGGTTTACACTGGCAAATTCTCAGAGGCATTTTCCGTGCAGGGCAGTCTAAGTCACCCTGTACCCACCCAAGGCCTCCGTGAAGCCAACAGCCAGGTGAAAGAATGAGCGTCTGTTTCCAGTTTTCCCTACTAGCACAGATGAGCTTTATGGAAGGTGCTAGAAGTAGCGCACATACCTCACATCTCAGTTTCCAACCTCTGACTTGTAGAGGGTAAATGCAGTGTGTGTTTGCCTAACAAAGTGTACTCTGTTCAGGAGCTGATCCTCAGTCCGCCACAACATGCCTCATTTGACGGTGCCTGGATTTCGATCCGTCATGAGGAAATGCTGTTGGGTTAAAACTCATCTGTAATGGAGGCTCTGGGTCCAAAACTGACCCAAATCTTCCAATTGGCATTATTTGTTGGCTTCGGGAAGCAAACGGTACAAAGGAAGGGTGGGCTTTCTGTTAATGGGGACGGGGGACATCTTGTCTGTAGGGGGCCTTACAAGCCCCTCCGCCCAGAGGCCTCTCCTCCTTCAAAGGCAGAGGTGGGGAACTATGGCCCCTTTATGACTTGTGGACTTCAACTCCCAGAATTCCGATTCTGGGAGTTGAAGTCCACAAGCTATAGAGGGGGCCATACAGTAGTTCCCCACCCCTGTTCTAAGGCCTTGATTGGCAGCCTCTTGACTAGGGGAAAGGTAACAGCCCCCATGGACTGTTTACCCAGATGTTTGGATTGGTTTTTAGCTTAAGACCAAAGTCCCCCTTTCTGAAACTCGGCTGTCTTCATCTCTAAATGGAAAGTGGGAGGCTGATAAGTTCCCAGCTATAAATATCATGTTTGGCTGCTGATCAAAATATTTGAGTGGTAAAACTCTTTCTTGGGATCACCGCATTGTTTGGAAAGATGAAAGTACCTTTTTTTTTACTACAAATAACCCCCAGTCACAGAGCAACTTTCTGGAATGTACACAGAGGTTTTCTTCAAGTTGGTTCAAACGACAGAGGGCTCAAAAATTATTGTCTCGGTGCTTCATGTGGTTCTTCTGAAAACACCAGGTATAATTATAAAAATCACACAATATAACCAATAAAATGTCCCACTACAAATAAGCACCACTTTCTAAAACTGGCAGCTTAGAACACGCAACTGCCATTTAAAGTATTAACAAGAGTGGTAAGAGCCAAAGTGAGGTAGCAAATCTAACATGCAAATGAAAGGCCCTTAGGCCTTGGTGATGTGGCCCAAACAGGACCCCAAACCTATTTTAGCTGGCAGGCAATTTCAGAGTGGTGCCGTTCCAGAGGAGAAATCCCTGGATCTCCCAAGGTTGCACGCACCTGGTCTTGAGCTTGGTTACAATTAATCAGTGGAACTCCTCGCCTCCAGAAGTTGTGGGTGCTCCATCACTGCAGGCTTTTAAGAAGAGACGGGACGGCCACTTGTCTGGAATGGCGCAGGGTCTCCCACTTGAGCAGGGGGTTGGACTAGAAGACCTCCAAGATCCCTTCCAACTCTGTTATTTTGTTGGTTGTTTGCTTGCAGACATTTTATGACCAAACTAGGTAACATCACCAGTGCAAGGGAGTGCAGGATTTAGTCCCTGTTTCTACAGTCACTTAGTGTAGTTCCTCTCTCACTAGCACTGATGAGGTTACCTAGTTGGGTAATGAAATGTCTGCTAGCAAACAACCCAGCTCAGAGAGCCCCAAGGGTCCCACAGTTCGTTCTTTTTGTGGTCACCGTGGATCGTTTGTCCCGTTCTTCCCCAGCTTAATGCTCCTTCCAGATATATTACCACTGTAGCTCCCTAAATTCCACACTGTTCCGACCCCTTTTCCCCCTTTCCCTGATGCAGAGAAATCAAGAGGAAAAAGCTAACTCTTCACCTGCGTTTCCTTTTAGGGCACAAAGTTGTGGATAATAATGGAATATTTAGGTGGGGGATCAGCCCTGGATCTGGTAAGTATTCCAGTTACTTTATGAATGTTGTTGATTTGTTTTGTAAGCTTTCCCCTTTTTATGGGTGGTGTCATTTCATAATTTTGGAATTGCTAGTCAGCCCGAGTCACTCTTCCAGGCCTTTTTGGTCAAGATGCTTCTGATTTCAGGCAGTCTAAATATAATTCATGTTTGAGCGAAGAGGTCATTTCCAAATGTGTGCTGCACTAAAAGACACGTCTGGTTATTTGCGGGTAGTACCAAAGTTTGCACTTTGGAAACACCTGATGTGTTTAAAGCTCTGTTAATGGTGGATTGTAACAGGCTTTCACTGTCCGCAGTTTTATGCCCCTTTCTCCAGATTGCAGGACCTCCAGGGAGAGACCTGGTAATGGTTGCGGTCCATCACAAAGACGGGGGGGGGGGGGAATAAGTGTTCACCTCTTGCAGAAACAAATAAGTGTCGCTTCTCTTTGCCACCGGGGCCCAAGAGGGTGTGAATCTCGACTGAGCTTCCTTTGTGACTCAGTCCTTGGGCAGGGAGCGGAATTCCTTCGCCCAAGTCAGAGATGTTTTCTATTAGCACAGATTTTCCTGCAGGGACCTCAGTGGGTCCCTTTGAGTCTGGTGGCAGAGCTACAGGGTTGCCGTCCCTCCGGCTCAGGCCGTAAATAAACATCTGTTAGAATAAAGAGTGTGTTGCTTGACTTTTGAGGAAAAGGAAACTTTGCAGTTATGAAAAACTACCCACTGCACTTAATAAATTGAAAAGTGGCCTTTAAAAAAAAAATTAGCTTTCAACACACAGAGATGTTTCTGTTGGAAGGAGATCCGGAGAGCTTGCTGTGGAAGCAAACACAGCTAATATTTAGTGCTAAAACTGGGCTGGCGTTTCCATTTTGAGTTCCTGTAAACTTAAAAGCTGAAAGGGCCCATTGCTGATGACAGGCGAGGCCTTCAATGTGGCTGCAGCTTAGGAGGGGCTGAGAAAGCAGAGATGTCTGGTTTTCCCTTATCCCCCCAGGCCAGCTTGACCACAGGCCTCACCGGGAGACCCACCCTCTTCCTCTGAGATAATTCTGCCACAGTAGTTACATCTAGGAGGTCCTGAAATGTGGGGTTTGAAGCCTGCTTGTGTCTCCTGAGGACGTCAGCATCTGCTTACGCTTGGCTTTGCTGTTGCAGCCCAGTTCAGCTCTTGGTTGGCACCCAGGAAAGCAGAGACCTGCTCACGTGGGCCAGAGCAGCGTTTCTCAACTTCAGCTGCTTTAAGAGATGTGGACTTCAACTCCCAGAATCCTCCAGGCTGGCTAGGGAATTCTGGGAGTTGAAGTCCACCTCTCTTACAGTAGCTGAAGTCGAGAAATGGCTGGTTGATGAATTTTGGGAGTTGAAGTCCACAAGTCTTAAAGTTGTTGAGTTTGGAGAGCCCTGGGCTAGAGGAACTGATGTGAAGAGAGCCGAAGACAGTCTGTCTGCAGCCCCAAGGAATCATTTCTCCTACGGGCAGGATCCGGCAGGCACTACAGAGTAGTCCCCTGAATCCTGAGAATGTTTCCTGGTGGGTTTTGCTCTGATTCTGGAGCTTCTGATGGGCTTCATTGCCAAGAGAAGCTCCCCTGGGGACAGAAGTGGCTTGTGGGCAACAGATTGTTGCCTTGAAGTCCGATCTGGTTCCCGAGTCTTGCACACCAGTCGTGTGTTGAGTGCTTCCCCTGATCTTGACAAGTTCAGAGGTTTTCTTGGTAACGAAGTAAGAGATAAGATAAGAGTTGAGGAAACTAGCACGTTCACAACACCCAGATTTATTTGTGATAATGGCCTAGCTCTCTTTCCAGGTATATTTGGTTTAGTTACGTAGAACTTTTGATGAAGAGCCATTTCTGCTGAAATGGAAATACAACTTGACTCTTTCTATCGTCCTAAGACCTTTAAAAAGGAAAGGAAACGGCTGTTTCGGACTCAAGGTGAGTGCCTTTCAAGGCACTCGGGGTTCCGTTAAAGCGTATAAACTTTGCTTATTTCCTCTCAAGCTCCGTGCTGGCCCCTTTGACGAATTCCAGATTGCTACGATGCTCAAGGAGATCCTGAAAGGGCTGGATTACCTGCACTCCGAAAAGAAAATCCACAGAGACATCAAAGGTGGGTACACAGAGGGAGGGAAGATGCTTCCCCCGGACCCCAAGTTCCTTTTGTTGTCAAATGAAGTTTTTCTTCTCTTCCACCCCCGCCCCCACCCCAACCAGCTGCCAACGTGTTGCTGTCTGAGCAAGGAGATGTAAAGCTTGCGGATTTTGGAGTGGCTGGGCAACTGACCGACACTCAGATCAAGAGGAACACTTTCGTAGGGACGCCCTTCTGGATGGCCCCCGAAGTCATTCAGCAGTCGGCCTACGACTCAAAAGTAAGGTCCTTTGTAGGCCTTGAAGGGTTGGTTTCATTTATACAGGAACATGGAGAGAGCTCGGTGCCCACAATCCAGAACCGTAGCTCATTTGTAGTGAGATTTTTTTTTAATAAGATAGTCCTCGACTTAATAACAGTTCATTTAGTTCAGAGTTAAAATGGCACTGAAAAAAGGTGACTTATGACCATTTTTTCACACTTACAACCATTGTAACATTCCCCATGATCACGTGATCAAAACTGAGACGTTTGGCAACTGCTTCGTATTTATGACGGTCACAGTGTCCCGGAGTTGCGCGATCCCTTTTGCGATCTTCCAACAAGCAAAGTCCGTGGGGAAGGCCCGGTTCATTTAACAACCGTGTTGCTGACTTATCAACTGCAGTGATTCACTTAAGAACAAAACTCACTTAACAAATGTCTCACTTAACAACAGAAATTTTGGACTCCATTGTGGTCATAAGCCAAGGACTACCTGTATATCTCTTAAATCTTAAGAGGAAATCGCCCATCCTAGTGATTGATATACAGCTAATAAATAAATGGTTGATGGGACTGACTAACGGGGTGACGACATCAAGTGGTGCTCCTGAAACTTGAAAGAGCATTGACCCACATCACACAGTTCAGGTTAAAACCCACAATTTGTGCAGAGGAAATTCTTGACCTCGTTCAAAATAGCCAGCCAGGTTCTCTGTCCTTTCTCTTCTCTGCAGGCTGATATCTGGTCTCTTGGAATCACCGCCATCGAACTAGCCAAAGGGGAGCCTCCGAATTCAGACATGCACCCGATGCGAGTCCTCTTCCTCATCCCCAAAAACAACCCCCCCACTCTGGCCGGAGAGTTCAGCAAACCCTTCAAAGAGTTTATTGACGCCTGTCTGAATAAGGACCCGACGTTTGTGAGTGTGCTTTTGGCTATTCCCAGCCCTTGGGTCTGGAGGGAGGCCCATCTTGTGGGAAGCCTTCTAAAAAAAAAGCCAAATGGATCCTGATGCATCATCATCATGCTTGCAGGGTTTTGAAGGATGCAGTCTTCTCTGCACCCAAAACACAGCAGGATAACTTTTAGGCATTTTGTTATTTTTGTGGCTTGACCTAGGATGTTTCAAACCACACAGGATGTTTGGAGCATGCCAAAGAGTGAATCAGAGGTGGTTGAAGCTTAACTTTGAGTCAGATTCTAGATGAAACACGTAGTAGAAGTTTTGTAGTGACTTTGGTTGGATTTGTAAAGCTCAAGTATTACTCAGAAGCTAATGTAGGTGGACAGCTGTTGGAGATCACAAGAAAACATGTGTTGACTCACGGATGCCAGTGAAAGAACATTAAGAAGTTTATTCTAATCGTTGCTGTTGGAGAATTTACTGTTCAGGCCAAAAAAGATTGGGTCATTGCTCTGGAGTGCGCGAATGGTAGACTTGTTTAGATCTCATGGCATTCTAAGGTCTCACTGTTGGGATCTGAACTTCTGGAATAGTGGTTAGCATCAGCTTTTAATTTTTTTATGTTATTTGGGATGCTGAATGAATTTTGCAGAATGAAAGATAAATTAATAATGAACAACTGCAGGAAAAAGCAAGGTGGGCTTGGAAGATCAGGAGTCAACTAGAAGGCTCCTCAAGATGCCATGTCTTGAATGGGTTCTGGAGAGCTCTCCTTCTCCAGAGGAAGGCCTTTCCCACCCCTGGGCTTTCCTTCCACGGTTGATGAGGAAGAGAATGTGATAAGCAGATCTTCGTGGAAGGAGGCCATCCTTTTGATCTCCTGCCCACGTCATCTCCAGCGCTGTGAGGTTCTTCCGGAAAACAACTTGACGCTTGCTATCTTTTCCAGCGTCCCACAGCCAAGGAGCTGCTGAAGCACAAATTCATCCTGAAAAACGCCAAGAAGACCTCGTACCTGACGGAGCTGATCGACAGGTTCAAAAGATGGAAAGCAGAAGGACACAGCAGCGATGAAACGGACTCGGACGGCTCGGATTCGTGAGTCCGGGTGGTGGGGAGGAGGCTGCGGGGGCAGATGGACCCAGAGGGTCTCAATGCACCAAGGTGGCCCAGATCGGGAAGGCCTGAGCGCTCTTGTAAACCTTTAACAAGCCCACCTAGCCGGGTTCTCTAATTTATTGACTGGTTTTGCCTTTCCCCCCTCTTGCCTCTTAGCGAGTCTAGCAACAAGGAGAACAATTCCCACCCCGAATGGAGTTTTACCACCGTGCGGAAGAAGCCGGATGCCAAGAAAGTGCAGAATGGGACAGTAGGTTTAGCCAGCATGTATACTTCAGAAGGGGCTGCGGTGAAAGGGGTTTATTTGAGTTTTATTAGATGAGAGAATGAGCCTCTGAGGTTTTTTTATTGCATACTGTCAGTTATACATCCCCAAATTATTCGTACCTCGGGGCAGAGAATATATTTAAATAGCCCTTAAAACCGTGCCACCATTCCCATTAAAATACACCCAAATTAAGACAGAGACTTGCCAGTCTTTTGTGGGCACGAGATCTCCAAAGGAAACGGCCGGGACTTACCTGCTTTCCCAGGCTGGATAGAAAACTCACCTGGTGATGCTTTGGGCCGACATTCCCTTGAGGTTCCGGGCACTTGATGGGCTCTGTCTGAAAACCTCCCTTCTAACTTTCCAGGACCAGGATCTCATGAAAACCTTGGGCTGTTTAACCCTGATCATCAATCCCGTGTTTGCAGAGGTGAGTCTCTTGGCCCCTTCAGACCCCTTCAAAGCCCTGCGCAGCTGCGGCTGCAGCCCCTCACCCTCTCCCCTTCGCCTCCCCCTGCTCAGCTGAAGCAGCAAGACGCAAACAGCGCCGGCAAGAGGCAGGCCATCGAAGAGCTGGAGAAGAGCATCAGCCTGGCCGAAGCCGCCAGCCCCGGCATCACGGACAAGATGGTGAAGAAGCTGATGGAGAAATTTCAGAAGTAGGCTGTGGGATTATTATTATTATTTGGTTTTCAGTCACTGGGGGTCCTTAACTTAGCATCACAATGCAGCGCCAAATTTCTGTTGCTAAGCAAGGCAGCTGCTAAGTGAGATTTGCCTCATTTTACAACCTTTCTTGCTACTGTCGTTAAGAGAATCCCAGCGGAGGACTGCCCGTGTTTGTGGGGCCCTCTCAGCTCTGATGCCCTGATCGAGTCTCTCCTCCCGGCCTTTCTCCCCCCCCCCTTCAGGTTCTCTGCCGGTGACTCCTGAGGAAGGTGCCCCGGGTGCTGCCCCGCACGGACCTCCCCACGGTCCACCCACCCTCCTCTGGCTCGGCTGTGCTCCTCGTTTTCCTGAGTTCCTGGTGCCTTTTGGGATCATCGCAATAGATTCTGATGATCGCGGATCGGAAAGGATTCAACTCCACTCTTTTGTAAATGGCAGACGTGCTTTTTGTTTTTCTTTTTGTATCTCCGGGACTTGCTTTGTTCCTTCTTCTTCTTCTTCTTTTTGTACAGAGCGACTTTTAATATTTTAGCTCCCACTTCTTTAACCCAGCTCAAACGAGACAAAAAAGTTTGTGCTGTTTCCTTCCAGTTGCCAAGGGTGGATCGGCCTCCTCCCCAGATTGGTGGACGGGCAGCCTTTTTACTCGCGTCCGCAGAAAACACGGTTCAGGAGCACTTTGTTTTTCTTCTCCTCTGCCCCAGTTGCAGGTCTCCTGAAGGCCCTAAAAGCCAGACTTGGCAAATCCCTTTGAGAGGCGGAGGCTGTGCGGAAGCCCTTCGCCCGCAGGATGTCGCTCTGGCGCCCTTTGGGCCCCGTCGCCTCTTTCGGCCCGTGTTGAGCAGGAGGAACCGGCCGCGGCATCCGCTCACTTGAAATTGGGTATTTTATGTGGGGTCACCTCCGTCTGACAGCAATATGTCAACGGCTTGGCGAGTTGTCCTGTAGCTCCGTGCACCGCTTGTGTGGATTCCTTTGTAGAGCAACCTGTCCCAGCAGCCGCAGCAACGGGGGAGGGGGCCGGGTGTAAAAAAAAAGCCAAGATGGCAGCCGGGGCCATTCTCTCTGAAGCCCACTCCTCTTTTTTTTTTCAAACATAGCATTGCACACGAAGGGGTGGGCTGCAGTCGGATGGACGCAGCCACCATTTCGGTTCTCTTGATCCCCTAATGCCCCGATATAAAAGACACTTTCACCGTGGTAAGAAATTTCGAAGCAATATTGTTGAAGGGGGTGGGGTGGGGTTGGGGGTTGGCAATAATGGGCCCAATTCGACCGAGTTGTTTCTTCTGGAGTAAAATTGGAGAAAAAGGAGAACCTGTTCTGTCTTGGGGGGCATCTGATCAGTACCTCCCAGGCAGGTTGAAATTGTGACACCAGCGTTTTGTGGGGGGTGTGTTTGTTTTTTTCTTGTAAGATATTGATAGACTTACGTTCTTGAAGTCTTTTACATGCATCCACAACTGTTTAATTTCCCCCTCCATCCCAAAGTGTATTTTTAAATATCTATTTACCAGTTAATATGCAAATAATTGAGTTATAGATATTCTTTCACGAAAAAGATAGTACTGTGCAGTACAGAGTGATTTTTTTTCCAGAAAAGGTAGAAGAAATTATAAACTTGCTTTCGATTATATATTTATGGTACTGTTGAGATGAGGTTCTCTCTCTCTTTTCCTTTTCAACCCAGTATGTATATTATGCTACTGAAGTGTATTGTATTTCAGTCTTCAGTTGTGGAAGTGTGGGTGTAAATTTATTTTTGATAAGTCTGGATATGTTTAATTTTATAGTTCAGATCTGCACATTTTTTTTTTTGGTTTTGCACAACATTCATTTTAAAGAATTTGAAGTATATCAGCCAAATATTGAACTGAGTTATATAAGAGTGCAAACAAGCAGTGATTTTTTTGTTGTCATTGTGATTAATAGTTGCCATTGCAACCTTTTCTTTTTAAGGAAAAAAAAAGATATAAAGACACTGGCAAGAGATGGTGGATAGAAATGCCAAGGGCAATTATTTTCAATGGTGCCTACACTGTAAAAAAAAAATCACAAAGAACTTTTAACTCCTTTGTTTTAATTTTAAAGAAATGTTTGTTTAAAAAAATTGTTTCATTGCTATATACCTGAAACACCATTAGAAATTTATACCTGGGGGGGGGGGGGAACGTCTGGACATAGTTTTTGAAAACAATAATGTTACGGATTAAATAAAATATTTTTATAAATGTAGAAGCCGTACAAGTTGTAAATACAGTTGATCCGAAGCTTTACAAAATAACCGTATCATCCGAGCAGAACCGTCGCGCTCCTTCTTCCCAGCGTCTCTTAGTTCTGTAAATCTGTTTATAGATTAAGCTTCTTTCACACTTTTGAGGAAGGGGGACCCAAAAAGTCAAATGGTTTAAAAAAAACAAATAAATATTTAAGTTCTATAATCTTCTGTGGTCAGTGTGTGATTGTGTCCCACCGAACACCTGAGCCAGGGATCAAACAAGGAGGCAAGTCACAAATCGGCAATGTGCCGCGTACTTTTGACTGGTGCCGTTGTTCTGCTGCCTACATAAAATAATTGGAGGCACCGCTCTCAGGATCATCAACGGTGGCAGGAACCAGGGCCTCCTCTCCCTCCAGCTGGAGGCTCCCTGAAGAGAGGTGAATTCGCACCCAGGGTCTTCTGAGAACCCGCCCATAGAGGGCATAGTAGTCCGGGAGGAGGTCTGAATCGGAGTCACTGGAGTCGGTCCCACTGCCCACATAGTGCTCTGTGGTTCGCTGGACTTGGGGAGGTTCTGGGAAGGGCGGCTGGGCGAGCACGCACTGCAAGAGGTCAATCTTTCTGCTGGTCAAGACAGGGCAAGGCCCGAGAGGGCGGAACTCTGAGCCACAAGGGAATCTGGTGGCTTTGACGTCCGATTGGCTCCAAGATCTTTTGGGGACCTCCTGAACACCGTAGTCAAAGACGCTCTCGTCATCCTCTTCCTCCATGCTAAGGTGGGTCACGTAGGTGGCCTGGGCCATGGCTGGGGGCTCCATCAGCTTGGAGTGGGCTGCGCCTGGGTTCCTTTGTGGCTTCACGGGTGCCTCACAGGTGCTGCCCTCCAGAACTCTTTCCTCAGTACGGTCCATGGTCGGGCTTTTGGGATACTGAGGTGGCCGGTCCACGTAGAAGAAAACTGGAGGAGAAGCCACCTCCAATGGCTGACTGGACACTGCCATGTAGGGGACATCGGTGTACGTCAGCTGCTGCCTTGGACTCCTGTCTCTCACATTGCTCAGAGAGGGGCTCTTGCTGGTGCCATCAAACTTGGAGCTGGGCTGGAAAGAGGTCAGGGGGCTTCTTGGCCCGTAGAGGCTGGCTGGTTCCCAATCGTGGTCGAGCTCCGTGTAGACAACTGGGAAGGCAGAGCTGCTTTGGGAATGGAGCAGCAGCAACGTTGGGTCTGCTTCTGGTTTCGACCGCTGAAGTTCATCGGCAAAGATGACTTCCACTGCCGAGTTTCTCCGTCGGTTGTCTAGTGTGGGTTCAGAAGTGTGGATGCCATTTGCGCCGTAGTAGCCCCCCATGGTGCCATAGACAAGCCGCAGGTCTTCCATCTGTGGGAAAAGTGAGGCATCAATGCTTAAGCTAAGATGCTTGAATGTATAACAAGGTTTAGCCTGCCTTCTTGAGGCCTCAGGAGGCCATTTATGATGATGCTTTTTCACCCAGGGGTGACAAAAACTCATTTTAAGCTTGTTTGGGCTGGATCTTAAGGAGAAATCCATGCAAATCCCATTTGCTCCATCCTTTCAACCACACCAGATCCAGGAAAATGGGCTGAAATTGTTCAATTTGAGGCAGCAATTCTTTCAAAGAAAGACAGAATTTAAGGACATCGTGCGAAGATCCTGTCCTTTGTCACACAGTTGGAGCACCTCTCCTCATAATGGGAGATGTCCAGATGTTTTTGACTTCCAAGCCCACAATCCCCAGCCTGCTCAATGGCAATTATGGGACGTGAAGTCCAACATAGGCCAAGAGCAGAGGCATGGGAAATTCATGGGTGCACAAAGGTGAGACTCATTTGCGACTACATCATCCCTGGTCTTTATTTCACACAATTCCATCACCCCTCCCCAACAGATCCCCCTGACTCAAATTACGTACTTGTTTGGAAACATCCGTCAGCAGATCCGGGGATGACCGGCATTGCCTGTCATGGTAGCGAGAAGAATAGTGTTTCCTGGAAGAGAAAACCACATTCTGGTGAGAAAGAAGTTCCCTGAGGATGGGCTTCGGCACGAGTCCGGAAGCTTGGAAGGCCAAACCTCTAGTCCTGGTGATCGACCCAGATGGGATCCTGCAACATTATCCTGGGACAGGTAGAATCGCCTTCATTTGTGAAAAATGTTCTTTCCACAAGCAATACCTCTCGAACGGCAGACTCTTCTGCTTCCCTTTGGTCCCATGTTCCAGCAGCTGCCTCTGAGTTCTCCCACTGCCGTTGCAAAGAGAGGAGTGGTTAAAGAGGGTTGCCTCTGCAGTACCCACCAAAGGCACCCCAAACTGCACCCACCAAAACGTTTGAGGCTGTCCCTTGGGGAGGAACAGTCCCCCGCCTGCCGGGGACTTACAGCTTAATATTTCACACCCGGAAAAGGCAGGAAATCAAGAGAAGCAAAGAGGAAGAACTTGACAGAGCCAACCACAGGCCACCAGGCTAGAGAAGGTGGCTGGCTTCCTTGCTCCACCTAAATTACCTGTAACGGAAACTGGAGCCTTTGCTGCAGAGAAAAGCTTTGGGTTTTGACTTTGGCTCGGTGGAGAGACGGAAGAAGGCATGATACTCGACGCACGTCTTCCAAAAAGCCTTACAGGTGTCGCGACTCGCCATGGTGAACTCCAGGGTATCCTTGCAGAGAGCCTGTCGGGGATGGAGAAGGGAAGTGCATTGGTCCAGTCCAGTGTTTCTCAGCCTTGGCAGCTTTAAGACAGGTAGACTGCCATTCCCAGAATTCTTCATTTTCAGTCTAGCCTACGGCCTGGAATGTCATCGCTGACACTCATCCATGCCCTGCTTAACTTTTCAAGATCAGCCAGCACCCAATATTTCTGGAAAATGAGGCTAGGGAATAGCAGAATGTTGTTAACAAGAGTTGGAAGGGACCTTGGAGGTCTTCTAGTCCAACCTGCTGCCCAAGCAGGAGACCAAATAAGATTTCAGACAAATGGCTGTCCAATTTCTTCTTTAAAAGCTCCAGTGATGGAGCACCCACAATTTCTGGAGATGAGCCATTCCCCTGATTAATTGCTCTCGCTGTTAGGAAGTTTCTCCTTAGTTCCAGGGTGCTTCTCTCCTTGATTAATTTCCACCCGTTGCTTTTTGTCCTGCCTTCTGGTGCTTTGGAGAATAAATTGATTCCCCTCTTCTTTGTGGTAACCCCTTAGATGTCTGAACACTGCTATCCTGTCTCCCTTAGTCCTTCTTTTCATTAAACTCGACATCCCAATCCCAGCAACCGTTCTTCGTATGTTCTAGCCTCCAGTGTCCCCTAATCATCTTTGCTTGTTGCTCTTCTCTGAATGCAGGAGGACCCCAGAAACTCTTCCTTTTTCCTCCTGAAACCCACCCCAACAATTTGGAACTTTGAAGCCTTGATGGTAGCAACGGTCTGCCAGCCAGCCTGCTGCCTCAATGAATCATTTCTGCAAAGAGTGTGCCTTAGACCAGAGAAATATCACCCAACCCAACCCCCACACAGACACTCACACACACAGACACAAACACATATGTCCCAATTCCCCCCCCCCCAGGTACCGAAATGTTGGCGTGGAGCTTGATCAAGAAATGCTTCCGTTTGAAACTCAGTTTCCGTATTTTGGACCAGTTGAAGGTATTAATCTTGGTGTTGCCCTGCAAAATTAAGAGCCAACAAGCAAATAGATCAGGGGTGTCTAACCTTGGCCACTTTAAGCCTTGTGGACTTCAGCTCCCACTGGGGCATTCTGGGAGCTGAAGTCCACAGATCTTAAAGTGACCAAGGTAGATGAAGACACACCACCAGGAACACAACACCTGACAAGTTGTGGAAGGTGGCTCATGGAGAGCCATTTTCAGTTGCTTGGCATGAAGCCTCTCAACATCCAGCACCAAGCGGGGATTATTATTTTTTAAATAAAAAAAATATTCTTTTCATTTTAGAGATCTCCTGACTGCTGCTTAGTCCTCTTCCTAGCTGCCTCTTTTGCAGCAATGGAACGTGAAAATCAGAAGTCCTTTTTAACCGACGACTGCTTAGTGCTTGCAGAGTTAAATCTATTGTCTCATTCTTTCTTTCCCCTACAGTTTTGCTGGAGAAAACCCTCATTTTTGCACCCAGAAAACAAAGCGTCCCACCCGCTTTTCCCTTGCTTCCTCCCCAGCTGAAGGCTAAGGCTGTTGAGGAGCGCATCGCCCACGTTTCCCAGCGCATGCTCACCAAAGCCGGGGAGCTGCAGAACCATGTAATTGCCACAAAATGAGACTTCTATTCTCGGCAGAAAATTATATGGTCAAGAGTTGTCTCCCTCCTGTACAACACCACGATCTGACATGGCAGCAGTTTGGTTTAGCAAGGAAAGAGAGGAGTTGAGGCGCCCACATCAGAGGGTGCTGGGCAAAGCCACAAATGGCAAGGGAACCCACCAGTCCCCACCGAGATTTTTCTCAAATACCCAGCCTGGTTTCCCGGGAGGCAATTCCCCAGGCTATACTTAAAGCAGGAAGCTTTTAATTAACATTAGAAAGGACTTTTGCTGATCAGCGCTGGCTTCCAAAGGCTCCATTCAATTACCAAAGAGGTCCATCTAGAATGATTGGCAGCTGCCAAAAGGGCTCCACACAACTCTGCTTTAATGCTGAGGGCACCAGGGTGCTGACCCCCCCCCCCAAAGAATTCATGCTTGTGAGGTCACATTGGCACCTTCACCTCTTGGGTATCTTCCTTGGAAAGGTGTAAGAAAAAATCATTTTACCCGCAGCACCAGGACTCCCATGTGGGTGACCGCCAAGTTGATCTGGGTCCCTTCCCCGTCACTCGCAGGGTGGGGGCAGATGCCGTACATCTCCAGCTTCCTTGCTATGTCCAGGAGCTGCACATCGGATTCAGCAGGAGTTTTGCCCCTGAAAGAAAACTGGGGGGTCAGCAGCTGAGGCAGAGAGAAGGGCTACGCTGCAGACCCCTGCCTTTGCGCTCAACCAGAATGTCTCCCTCCCAGTTCTGTTGCTTCCAGTTTGGAAACTGGAAAACTCTCTCTTCTCAAGTTTCTGATTTCGAGTTCAGAAAGTCATGTGAAATGAAACTTTCCACACATGGAAGTTTTAATTTCGTTTAAGCTCTCACTCCAAGGGATCCTGAGCAAAAGTAAAAAGTCTAGCACTGGTGACGTTACCTAGTTGGGTAATGAAACATCTGCAAAAAACCCAAAAAAGTTCAGAGAGCACCAAGGACCCCACAGTCCTCCTCCTCCTCCTCCTCCTCCCTGCAAACCCCACTCCCTTCTAGCCCTGATGATGTTATCTAGTTGGATAATGAAACATCTGCAAGAAAACAGCCAAGCTCAGAGAGCACCAAGTCGCCCTAAAAAATTAAAAAGAGCCACGTGGAGAAGACCGGTCGGTGACTTACATGTGCTTCTTATGGTAGCACATGATGCTGTTCCTCAGATCCTCTTGGTTCAGCAAGTATTTGTGTGTTTCCAAATGCTTTCCGTCCATTTCTTCGTGGAAATCGCCCAGCGCAGCTGCAGGAACAAGCGACACAATTAAGATGCTTCTGGGCAATGGAATCGGCTTCCTTCGGAGCACACACAGCCCGGTCCATCAACAAGAGCCAGGAGCAACATCAGGGCCAGCCCAGATCCCGTGGCAGAAAGGATTGCCCCGGAGGGGGCAAGAAATGTCTTTTCCCGCCCCATGGCGCGGTGCAGCTGTGTTACCCTCCCCGAGGCCCGGCCACGTCCTTGCCCCGTGGGTGGCCATCCTCTTCCTCTCCTGCCGAAGGAACCTCCGAGTTGCAGGACGGGGGACGTACATTGGAGGAGATGCGACACCATCAGAGCTGCGCTGTTGCTGCTGCAAGGGAGCTTCCCGCCGGCCAGGTCCTTCTTGATCTGAAGGGTGAACAGGTACCTGAAAGACATTGTCAGGGCTCTCACTGGGCTCCCCTCCCTCTGGAGAGGCAACGCAGGGAGTCCTCGGTTTACGGCCACAATTGGGACCGGAATTTCCGCTGCCAAGCAAGCAGTCATTAACTGAGTTGCGCCCGATTTTACAGCAGTTTTGCCACAATTGCTATGTGAATCCAGCTTCTCACATCAACTCTGCTTGTCAGACGCTGGCTGGGAAGATCCCAAGTGGCCGTATGCAACTCTGGCAAATACAGCTGACCATGATGGGGACGGTGTGACAGCTGTAAGTGTGAATACCGGTTGTAAGTCGCTTTTTCAGTGCCATTGTGACTTTGAATGGTCACTGAACAAATAGCTGTAAGTCGAGGACTTACAGACATGCTTCTTTCTGCTCCTCTCTGATCATTGCCAGCTTTAAGGACTAGAAACTTGAATTTAAAAGGACTGGTATGAATGGGAGAGAAACAGCTCCTTGAAATTGCTGAATCCAGTCTGAGTCCTGCATTGTTTGTTCTCTAAGGACATGGATTCTCTATCAACAATGTTCCCTTGTTGTTATTGTATTATTCACTCAGCTTATATATTTAACAATGCCCTGTTAGATATACTTAATGCCTTTAAATACTTCCTGCCTCCTGTTGTGGTCACAGCAAGTAAGAATAATAAACTTCTTTGCATGGAGGCTGAGTTGTATACAAACAATTTCATCAGAGAGAGCTGCATTTTACCTGGTTAGCCTTCTTTTTAAACAGATATTCAGAAAAAGATTTTCAGGATGCAATTATGCATTTATTTATTTTAAAAGGAGCACCTTAGGAGATGAGCAAAAAAAATGCATTAAAAAAGAATAAAATGAAATGAAAAGTAATGTGCAGCATACCTCGTCAACTCTTCTTTCAGATGACCCGGATCCACTGGGAAAAATTTCACCATAAATTTGAAAAGAATGTCCTTAGGATCTTAAAACACAACATCTTCATAAGTTTGGTTTCAAAAGTCTGTCGGGAACATTTACACACATCTTTTCATTTGAAAAGTGTCCCTTGCGCTAGAGACCAGCCCAGCCATTTCCACCGGCCCCTGAGAAGGATCCATCCTTCCCTGTATCCTTTATTGCAGGGAACTTGGCAACTTTAAGACTTGAAGACTTCAACTCCCAGAATTCCCCAGCCAGCCATCGGGAGCATCATCAGGAGCCCCTCCTGCCCTACGAGGGGTGTGTGGGCATCACCCCCCCCCAACCAGCAGCAAGGAAAACTAGATGGTTCCCAGGCTGGAGAGCAGCTTCTTGCCCCCCCTGTTTTCTACAGAGGGGCATAAAAGGAGATGGGACCCCCCCTTCTACATCTGCCTTCTCCAAGGTACTTACTTTTAATCTGCTTGGAGATGGGCTTGAGAAGTTCCAGCCAGGCCTGCAAAGAGAGTAAGGGCAGCCTAACGTATCGGAGGGACGCTAGCAAAAGGCCGGGAGGCGGCCTGGGGAGGGTCTGCGGGAGATAAAGAGGTCAATTTGGGGCCTCTTGCCCACCTAACAGAAGACACCCCCCTTTTGCACAAGGAACAGAGCCAGGAGCTTCTCAGAATTTCTCTTGCAGAACCTTGACTGAGCCAAGAGCCCCCCTCCAAGACTGGATTGGGTCCTTTGGGGAAGACAAAGCCCACTGAAAGCCAGGAGACCCCCCCCAGAGCCCTTTAGCTTCTGCCCACCTCAGCAACATCGCCGGAGTTCAGCTTCTGACCCCTTGCAGAGGGAGAGACCCATGGAAACGGGTGTGTCTAAAGCAAGCTTAATGCACTCTCATTCCCCACAGCCTGTGTGGCATTCTTATACAACCCCCCACCCCCACCCCCACAGGTGGTCATTCCCCCTCCCAAACTTACAGCATGCCCCGCAGGGCTCCAGAACTCCAGTCCAAAATATTCCTTTTCTGCCAGGTTCAAGTGGTGGCAGCTCAGGTTAAATAATGTTTTCCCAGAGGACTTTTGCTGAAGGGGCCAAAAAGGCGAAGGAAGGAAGGAAGGAAGGAAGGAAGGAAGGAAGGAAGGAAGGAAGGAAGGAAGGAAGGAAGGAATAATGGAGAGAGAGAGAGAGAAGCAGAGAGATAAACAGAGCTCTTTGGCAAAGAAAGAGGCACAAGCGTCATGTCTTCCACAGGCTCTGCTTTGTTCAGTTTGCTCAGGGTCTTGAGTTTGAGAAGGGCTGGGGTAAAAAGGGGATGCCCAGAAAATGATATGAACAGGTGTATGAAATCCCTGGGAAGGGAACCCAAACTCCTAGCAGATGTCTCCTTCGAAAAGGTGGATCTTTATGGAGCTCTTAAAGATTTGTGGTGGGGCAGAGACCATTCCCAAGCGACTTAATCAAGAGTTGTGTCTTTAAACTTGAGAGATACTTGCAAGAGTTGGATTTTTGAAACAAGCCTGGATTCAACCAGTTTATTTGCTGAATTGCCAGATGCCCAAAACTGACCAAAAAGTCTTTGTTAACTCAGTTCTGCCATCTTGCACTCAGTCCTGGCCTCTCAGCTGACATGAGCCAGTGTGGGAAAAAGCCAGGGCAATCTAAATTAAGCAGCACAAACCCATCAGTAATTAAAGCTAATTAAGCAGCAATAAGCTGGAAGAGTGACAAAGTTAAATACCTGATTGTTCTTGAGTTTTTGAAATTTGGGGGCAATTTCAGAACTGTAAACATTTCAATCCTTGATAAACCAGGGGCGCCATCTTCCCAACCCCTGTTTTCCAGGCATGTTGCAGCTTCCAAAACTGCAAAAGTGGGAATGCGTAGGACATACCTGAAGTCCCCCAGGTTGGAGTAGGTTTTATTTAGATACAAGAATTCCTGTTTATACTTGAGTTGCATGCTTGCAGCCCCTCCCGAAGCCAATGCTATCCACTTTTAAACACTTATTAAATTATATTGGCATCTCACGTTAATTGGTTTCATGCTACTCATTTCTGTTTCCAGATTTCAAATGGTAGAAAATATAAAATAAAAAAATACAAAAGTATATACTGTATAAAGGTACTGTTTGGGAAAAGTATAAGCAAGGTATTCTATTGAAGAAGCCTATTTCCAAAGATTGTGTACATTATACAAAATTGGTAACAAACAAAAACACTTTAAATAAGTAAATAAATAATTGGGAGCTGCCCAGTTGGTTATTCTATTTATCAAATTTATATGCTGTGCATCTTGTGTTATGAGACGATATTCAGTGGTTGTAAAGATGGGCAGCTATATGAAGGCTTTAAATAAAATTAAAAGGTTGAAAGAAGTGTGCACTACATTATATACACATTTTAATGCAAACTTTTTAAAAATAACTCAGACTCAAAAGGAGAGATAGGAGAGCCAACCACTGGGAAAATTTGCAAAACTGATACCCTGAAATTGTCAGAATTGCATAAATAAATAAATAAATAAATAAATAAATCTGAGTGGAATCAAAATAGATTTGCACATTTCTGTTCCACACTAGAACTAGAAATGATGTTTTGTAAAAATTAATCTCCTCTGGAGGGCCGAGCCAGACTCAGGAAACTAAACCTCTTGAAAAGCCAGCGGAGTTTCTGGCTGGACCGGCTGGTGGGCAAATTGGTCCTGGCACCCTTCCAGACGCACCTGTCCTCTGACTTGGGCTGCCAGGGAAATTGAGGGGTTGCTGACACGCGGCGCATTGTGCTCGGTGTGAAGCGCGCATGCTAACATCTTACAGATAATCCCTTGTTGCAGTCACGGAGGTTTAAATTGCTACCCTGGCACCAAAGAGGCAACTAGGGAAATGACAGGGTAATCACTGCCTTTTCTGGAGGGGGGGAGGGGGGGCTCCTATTTCCACAGCTGAGTGGCAACAGCAATTAAAGCAATTATCACTGTTTATTCCTCCTGCTGCAAGTTTTGGGAGCCAGAGATCAGCCAGGGACTTTTTCCCAGAGGAAAGAAACAGCCTGAATTAAGGCGATGGTGCTTCCTTGCCTGGGAAGGATGCTCTTTTCAAGCCCTCTGAAGTGCTGCCACCATTCAAGGTGCTGCAGGTGTCAGGAGAGGGAAGGCCCAAGTCAGGAGACAGAGTCTGGAAGCTCCTTTTCTGATTAACACACTTTATTCAAAGAGAGGGAAGTGCATAAACTGCAGCTGTTCCTCCTGATTATTTGCACCATCCAAGGCGTGCATTAACGTTTCTGGTTCCTGAGTGCTCAGGGCGGCGTTTCTCAATCTTGGCAGCTTGAAGATGGGTGGACTTCAACTCCCAGAAATCCACCCATCTTCAAGCCGCCAAGGTTGAGGGACACTGGGGAATTCTGGGAGTTGAAGTCCACCCACTCTGCCCTTCTCTAGGTCCCTGGTTTCATTCTTGTCCTGCAACGTTAGGATGTTTTTCCTGCCATTCAATCCAAACCTGCCCTCATGCAACTTATTTTTTTGTATTTTGTGCATGAGTGTTTGAAACACCCAGACCTTCTCGTGGGGTTATACCTGAACCCCTTCATATCATTAAGGTAAAAAAAGGGGGCACAATTGTCCCTCTGCTTTTCGTCTTCTCCATGCAGAATTCATTAAACTCCCTTCTGCTTACTGACCTTGAAATCCATCTAAAAGACTCCCGGCTCACCCCACTGGTTCTACTAGCAAGAGCCCCGTCTGATTAAGAGAATCCGTTGGAAAAGTAACCCCAGGCAGTCTCTCTTTCTCTCTCTCCTCTCCTTCTTTTTTTTTTTTTTAAAATTCCAGGACATTATTGTGACTCTTGGACATCAAATGCACCACAGGCCTTGAAGGCATTCTGGAGGATTTGAAAAGAAAACCCAATCCTGGGCTTTAATGGAGTTGGAGTCCTTTCTTGCAGCCACACGGCCTATAAAGCTAAAGCGGAGAAGCAAAGAGGCAGGAGGGGTAATTGCGAAGGAAGGAAGCGAAAAATGCTGAAACTGAAATAAAAAAGGGGGACACTCCGCGCTAGCGATAATCCCACAAAAGTAGGGTTTCATGATTACAAGCCAGAAATCCCAGTTCCAAGGTAGACTTCATGTGTCCCTGTCTGTGCAACGAGTTTCCAAGGGCTTTTGAACTATAAATCTTAACCATTCGGCATCAAGAACAGCCTATCAAGATGGAGATTAAACGATGAGGGTTTTGTTTTTTTAAAAAAAGCTAAATGTTGCACTTATGCTCCATTCTGTGTACTTTTAGAACTAAAACCATCAATACTGTTGTGCTGTTCTTACTATGTTGCTTTTTTAAAAACAAAGACACATCCACATGGATGTAGCAAAAATTCAACTGCACTTTGATTCCAAAATGTATGTTTTTGTTGCCTGGAAGATTTCCTTTTGAAGCAGACACCTTTATCTTCTGATAGGTATTTCTCTCTGACAGAGAGCTTTCAGAAAGATCTGTCCTTTAGATAAAGGTATTGGGTAATCCACTTTTAACTATAAGGCAAATACGATGTGTATAAAGTGCAGGAATGCTAAATTTACCAAAATTTGGTAACTATCATTTTGACTCACTACAAGTCTGCGATTTTAGCTGTCAGGAAGCCTGTTTTTCAGCACCTGCATCTAATTCATTCTTTGGAACATTAATTTTATAGAACAAATGATGCAGGAGCTAATTTATAAAATAATTATTTTTAAAATTCTTAACAATTTGGTGATTACAATTCAAGACGAAGACTTGGTTGTGGACACGCTCTTTAAACATTAAAATGACTTATTTGCTGTCAGATAAAACCATGACTTTTCTCCGAAAGGGTCTTGTTCAAGGAATATTTAGAAACAGTCAAGTCCTTACTGTGAATTAGCAATTGTTCAAAATGTGGGGAGATGCAGGCATCTAATTAGATTTTAAAAAAAGACAGAACAACACTGAAATTAAAACATCACCCAGTCCAAGAAGGTCAAACAAATTCCAGCAGGCAAAATAATAGACAAGAAGCCGTGAATATACTTACATCGACCACAAAGATCTTCTGAGAGTCATCCAAAAACTGGACTTTGAGATGTAGCATCCTTAGGTGAGTGGCTCAGCAGCCAGCCAGGATGAGGCTCTGTGCAATCTGAAGGGAGGGAGGGAGGGCGTCTTACGAATCAGACAGAATTTTATTCTTGGTTGGATAAGAACAGGAGCCTTGAGTGCAGATTTTTGCAAAGGCGCATAAGACCGACAGGGAAGATGGAGGAGATACGTGTCCCTGTCAACCATCACAAAACCGGAAAAGGTTCTCTTTTGTTCATGCCTTTTTCCGTGTTCACCTCTTTTCCAAGTTCCTCCTTGCGGAGAGGCTAAAATTCTCCCCAGAACAAAGAAATAAAAATTGCCTTGCACGAGACCCAGACCCAGGTTTTCTCCAGAGCTGGTCCGCCCTGCTCCATCGGTCCTCAAGATGAAAAGACTTTGCTCAAGCCATGGCAAGGGACAGGAATGACCGTCTCTCTCTCTCTCCATTTTTAAAGTTTAGGGATCTTGGTTCAGAATTTGCAGGGTTTCTGCATCTTCATGCAGAAATGTAGGTCAGTGTGTGGTCAAATAGGGCAGGGCTGAGTGTAGGAATCCCCTTGGAGAACCATCTCTACTATCCAAATGGGTTCTTAGCAAGAGGGGGGTTTCCTTTCTTATTCGCTTGTGGTTTCCCCTTTAAAAACCTATCCCTTAATTGGGCCTACCAATGCCTGCAATCCAGCTGGTGGCTGGAGTGGATCCGCTCCCAATATCTGTTTGTGTTGCATTTCACTTCCTGGTTTTAACAATTGTTGGGGGGGGGGAGGAATCTCAAAACCCTTAGCTGTACAAAATCTAATTTCACTTCCCCAGAGAAACAGAAAACCATGTATGCAGAAGGTCCAAGGATCTAGTATTGCTCTGAGATGTTACTCCTAAGCTAAACAAAATTTTTGAAATAATTTTGGGTCACAGGCTGACCAAACTTCAGCCTGCCGTTACATCCTTGAGCCTCGTGATAAGATCAGTCAGGAGGATCGAAGCATCTTTACAAAATGATTATGGAAACATGCCTTTTCTCTTGCTGTCATGTACAGGCAGTCCCCGACTTACAACAGTTCATTTAGTGACCAAAGTTACAGCAGCATTGAAAAAAGTGACTTATGACCGTTTTTCACACTTATAACCATTGCAGCATCCCTCTGGTCGTGTGATCACAAATGTCTTACTTAGCAACAAAAATGTTGGCTCAATTGTGGTCGTAAGTTGAGGACTACCTGTATACGCGGCTATAGAAAACCAGAGGTCGTGCAAAGGTGTCTTCCTTACCTGAAAATGGGTCCATGTCTTTCCTGGGAAGATTTTGCTTTTATCAAGGAAAATCATAACATTCACTCCTTCCTTCCCAGAATGCTTTTTGCTTTTCTGGTGGACGGTGTGGCGAAGATTCCCCCACTCGGCTCAACGGGAGACGGAACGGCCCTCGTTGGCTTGGAAAGAGCACCATCTCCTGGTGGCGTTGAAGTGCTCACTTTCCATTTCAGTTGTGTATAACAGCAACTGAATTGCGCGTTGGCTTGGACATTTGTACCTAACTGGCTTGGTGTCCCGTTATTATATGCCGGGGAAAGGCAGGCAGGCAGCCCTTGCTTGAGGAAAAGGAGGGTTTGTAGACGGATGAGCCAATCCATGCAGGCATGACGTTTCCACCCTGAAAAGCCCAAAGTCCGAAGGGCTTTCATTCTGATGTGGCTTTTTATACATTCAAGGACACTTTGGAAGAAATATTTTCCCTACCCACATTTATTAATAGCACCAAGTTCACAGGGTTGACCCAACTGTAACGAGGCAAATTCCTGCTCCAGAGCTTGAACACCAACCATGTTTTTTACTACAACAACTCTACAGTGACGTTGTTGGTCCTTGAGTAACAAACCAGGGGGGGACGTGAGAGCTGAAGGCTAGACTGGAAGAAGGCAACGGCAAACCACTTCTGCACTGTGGCCCAGATGGGGTCTCATTGTGCTTGATGGGGTCTCATGGTGTCACCAGGAGTTGAGCTCAACTCGAAGGGGTCTGATACCTTTGGCAGTCCAGGGGGAAACAGCGGATTAACCTTGAGCCTTCTCAGAAGCTCAACAGCTAACAGTCCCAGTTAGCACCTGGAGGGGAGTCACTGGGGCTGTTGGGGATTGGGGTTATTGGTGAGGCCAAGGATTTTTTTTTAAAAAAAAAATCACTAGCAAACCATATTCTTATCGCTGCTAAGAACTCCTCATGAATGTGCCCATCGAGTTCAACTGGCAGGAGATTTGTTATCTTTGCTGAATTAATTCTATGGATGTCACTCAATGGCATCAAATTAGTGGCGAGTTCAAGAAAGCAGGGCAATTCTTGGAGAGACTGGCAGAGATTCCCGATTCTGTCTTACGCCTGGGTGGGCCCCATTTCCTTCTGCTTCCCTCTCAAGAACCAGAGCAAGGCAGCAAAGGCTTCCTGGCCTTGCCAGAGAGAGTTTCAGAACCAGGCCTTATATCAGCCACGAAATCAGCCCTTGCCATCTCACAGGGCGGTTGTGAGGATGAGCCGGATATACGCACAGAGCTGCTATGTGGTCTGGAAGAAGAACTCGCTGATGGTGGCCTCTTTAGAAGAAGCGACCAAGGAAATCACATTTCCGTTTTGCAGCCAGGTCGCGCCCACTCTTCCTCCTCTTTGCAGATCTAAAGTTCACTTGATAGAAGAGGAAACCTTGCATGCCAAAGGGAGCAAAGGCGGCCAGTGCCCATTTCCTGGCAGGTTGGCGAGAAACCACGTGCCAGGAGGCCGCTTTTCTCCCTTGTAGCAGCTCTGCACTTGGCTGAAAAACCACAGGGTGGTTACGGAGGACTCGTCCTCAGGACACACGAGTTGCCATTGACCTCTAAGAGCCCCGCAGCCTTTGAGAGGGTTTTGGGTGACCAAGCAGGGGCCCCGCCACTTCAGCAGCAAAGAGCAGAAATAAGCACCCTTTAACCTAATTGACAATAAGTAACGCAGTACATAGAATTATTACATTTTTAATAAACCTTCGAGCACGTGAAAAATGACAAGCGTGGTCCTTGTGGCCCAGAGCCTAAGCTACGGGCCTCTCGGCTGCAAGGCTAGGATTGTCCCAGCTGCCACAACTTGCAACAGCAGCTCAGAACAGATTTTGTTGGTGGTGAGAGGGAATTCCTGCTTGCTTTCAAAAGGATTATGGTTTGCTATATAATCTGTGTTTTGACATTGGGTGGTAGGCGTGAGATGAAGGCCTTGTCGGTTATGGAACAATAGGGAGATTAAATGCAATGATCCTATCAAAGGTTCTATTATTTTCAGATCTTTTGCAGGTCTTTTCTCCCCATTTCACTCACGACGGAGAAACTCAGGTGGAGCACGTGCAATCTCACAGGACTGGTGTGAAGCTAAGCTGGATGCAGGCACAGAGCTTGTGTGAGATCTCGAAAAAAAGAACAAGTTGAAGTTGGGTTTTTTTTAGAAGCGATAAAGGAAATAACATTTCCGTTTGGTAGTCAGCCTGATCCCTCTCTTCTTCTTCTTCTTCATCTTTTGCAGATCTAAAGTGCAGATCATGCAGCCACGCCCAAGCTGCTCCGTCCTTGACTTTTTCTTATCTCCTCACCAAAGTGCAGTTATGGGGAGTACCTGTCTCAATTTCTCCAGCTGGTCTTCTCACAACACAGCCCGGCTGAGCAAGATGGGCCAATTGCCTTCTGAGGTCCTGGTTGGTCAATGGTTCCCATAAGAATTCAGTGAGGAGCCTGCGTGTTTTATTTCCTTCCCGGTTACTCTGCCTCCTCTAATCACAATGGAGGGATAAAACTTGGCCACCATGCTGTCTTGGGGTGTTAGGAGAACCAGTGTAGCTGGGAAGCCTGACAAGGAGAGGTCTAGACTGCAGAATCCCTTCAGGATGAGGCCCAAACTATCCCCAAAACCATATTTATCTCTACCATTTTCTTTCCAAATAATAATCAGGCCACAGAAGATTTTTGTGTCATTCTCATGGGTCACATCCCCAAAGCAGACAGGGCCAGGCAAAAGAAGGTGACATGCCAAGTATAAGAGTTAAAGATTAACATTTAAATCTAATTACTCCCATATTATTTCATCATTTTCCCCTTCGTTTCCCTAAAGTAAAATTTGTGACAACTTCTGAGGGGTTCACACAATTCAAGAAGCTGAAATTGTGCAACAGGGACGCAAGCAATTGCTGCATTAGCTGAAGGACAACATGGGTGTGTTCCCCACAGCCGTATTATACTGCACAGAAGCTAACACACATTACAGCACAAGCCACAAAACCACCCTTCCACAGTAGCTAAATCAGGAAAGAGAGGAAACCACTTTTGGTAATACAGGTATCTATTTTATTAAAAAAGTTACAAACAGCTGGACTGTAAGGGCTGTCTTACAAAATAAGAATGAATGAAATTGGAAGGGCGAGGAGAGGGAAAAAAATGGTGGTTCACCTTTACAAAGCATTTGATCATTGTCCTGGTTTTGCACTTGCCAAATTTCCAGACTTTTTTTTACTTTTCCCCAAGAAAGAGGTACAGTACATTTGATACACTGAATTAAATTGCGAGAACATTCAGGCAGAACGGGGCTGTGGTGCCACATCCAGGAAGGAGATGCCAGGAGTAGCCCTGGAAAGGAATTACTCCTGACAATGGCTGGGATTGTGCACCTGGATGGCCCCCCCACCCCCCACCCCCTGGAGCACCGTCTGGCTTCCCATTGTGCAATGTGGAGAGGCATTTGAAGTGGGCTTTCCCCAAGAACCAGGTCCTCCCTCTTCCTCTGATTAATCACCTGGGAACTTGGCCCAAGGGCTGCATGATTCAACCAGGTCAGTGGGACAAGCGTACCAGCACCTTCTCGGCTGGACCAGAAGAGGCCTTGTGCAGCTCCAGAGTCCTTCTGGAGTCCAGGGCCTGAAGCAAGCAGGCGGGGAGGCCTACAGCGCAAAGGCTGCCTGAATTTGAACCAGACCAGGGAGGCCTCTTCTTTTAAACGGCCAGCCCCTGGTTCCAAGCTGTGCTGGAGCAGCCCAGGTCAGATGGCAAACTCTTTGCCGTTCCCAACTCCAATTGAGAAAGAATGGATTTAAATTTTTTTTTTAAAACAAAGGTCAACCAACAGAGAAGTTTAGAAGTTAACACAACGTGTCTACCACTGAAGAAATAAGGTACAGTTACTGTGTGAATTCTGCATTCCCTTGGCACACATCTGATACTTGGCCAATGTAAAAAGCACTGCAAAACGGGGCTTTACGTTTGGAGACTTCTATTAAAGTGCAAGCCTAACCTTTACTTCACTGCAAATTTTGAATTTAGAGATCAAAACGCTGGGAAGGCTCAGGATCAGGGCACAGCATGCTAGTGCCATCTGCCAACCCAGATGATTTAAGGATGAAATTTGGTCAACACTAAGTTTTGGGCTGCTACGGAAGTCAACATTTATTAGATGTATGGTCAAATGGCTCCAGGTGGGCTTTTAAACCTGGTGCAGGGGGAAAAAAAGACACTTTTTACATCAGTGCTAGGAAAAGGTCTCCAATGCCTACAACACTCGTGGTGCTACCATTTCTACTAATGCACTCTTCGTTCTGCTCAAAATCGGTGTTGCTCTTTGAAGACCACAATTAGCTAAACTGCCGTTTCGGTGAGATGCAGGCCGTGGAAGGCCAGGGCGACGGAGGCTCCCGTTGCTTCGTCTCTTGGCCTAGTGAACCAACCAAGGCTGCACCCCAGAGAAAATGGCAGGCAAGCAACGGAGCAGCAGGCCAGGCCGGCTCATATATTGTTTCAATGTTCTTGGACAGAGACAAGAGTTAAACAGTAGCATAAATTCACTTTTTTCTTTCTTTCTTTCCCAAAGTCACCTTAAATCCTGTCAGGGAATCTCAAGTTCCCGTTTGCTTTGGAACACAACCTAAGAAGACACACTGTCCGTTTCCCAAGAAAAGATTTTTCAGCATTTGGAAGATGAATGCAATAAGCAGATGAACAGGTGATTTTCAACACAGCCTTGTCTTTCAAAAAACCAAACCCGAATACCATATAACAACAGAGAACACACATACAAATTGCTGGATGTCTCCAGTCCCCACCCAAAAAGCTTTCCCATCAGGCCAATCACAGCTGTTGAGATAAAGGGATGCCGTGTCCTCACGTATCAGGCAATGCTTAAAACATCCTTCTATGACACCATCACATGTAAACAGAATGTTTCAAAGTTCCCATCAATGACATTTCAGAGGAGAAGAAACCTTGTTTTCACTCTCTTTCTTTCTCTCTCTCTCTCTGTTTTTGCAAATCAAGCACGAATGTGAGGTAATATACAGAAGTAACCATTTGTGTTTAAGGCTCACTTTTCTTCTCCATTATTTTTTTTTTCTCTTAAAAAGGCATTGAGTAGGTAATACTGAGTTTAAAGTTTAATAAATACAAGATTTAGAAATCAATTAAAGAAATAAAATAGTTTAAAATGAACTTTTGCATATTAGCCATTAATAGGAACTTAGAAAGCTATAAAAAAAAACACCCCAAGAGATCAAGAACAGATTCCCAAATCAAATGGTAAACATGCTAAGTGTTTGTAGCAGGCCGTGCCTCTCTCCCTGGCTGCTCCTTGCCTGTTTCACACCGGATGCCTGGAAAACGTGCTCTGAAGGCAGAGACGAGATTGAGCAAGGCTCAGTTCGGCAACCTGGGCTTAAAAGGGTTCTCCAACGCAGCATCTGTGCAAATTTCCTCTGAGTTTTATCTGCAAGTAAGACAAAGAATCTGTCAGGGAACTTCAGGACCTCCTGGGGCACAAGAAGCTGTTTTGATGGCATCACCAAACACGAGGACCCGCTTTCCCATCACCCCAACATAGTTTTATTTTTGACCTGCAGATTTTTTACAGCTTTTCCTGGGGACCTGCTGGAGAAAACAAATTATTCCAAGCCACACAGAGATCCTGTTTTATGAAAATGCAAGCAGAACAGAGTGAAGTAGCAGGGCTTTCAAAAAAAAAAAAAAAAAGTTAAATCCAGTAGACCCCGAACAAGATTTATTACGTAATGCAGTTCGGGGGGGGGGGGACAGCTTGTGACTCAATCTATTACAGAAAGGGTTTTCCCCCCCTCCCGTTACTCCTCAACAATTTAATGCTTTGATGAGCTGATGAGGTTCTCCACCTTGGCGACTGAAGCGGGCAATTCAAAAGATGGCAGCTACAAGATAGAGGAACCGGGAAAAACTGAGATGGAAGCTATTCAGCCTCTCAAAAGAGGGAAGGCTGCAAGTAACTGGGGGGAAAAATAACGTCACTGCTTCCGTTTTATTTCATTTCATGCAACCCATGTGGCTGTGGCCCGACTTCTTTTGCTGAACATGTTTGCAGTGCCTGGAAAATTCAATGACAGCTGACACACAACCACACTTTCACAACCTCCCGCTCCATTAGAGCCAATAGGCCATTTCAGGTTAAGAAGCGAGGCTTGTCATCAACCGTTAGCTTTCTTCAAATGATTCAAGAAACAAAACAGTTTGCCCGTTTCAGAATAGTGTGCGGGAGGAAATTGCCCTGGCAAGAAAATCAACATTTATCTACAAGGCATCACGGAAGGACCAACTATAGCAGGCCTACATAGATTCGCAGTAGAATCTGAGAAGAGATGGCCAGCAGGAAGGCCCCTTTTTATCTCACCATAGCACTTTCTCTACCAAAGACTGGAGAAGCTGCCTCGTGGGCATCACATGTTGAGCCAGGAGGATTTAAGGCAGGTTTAACTGCTTGCCCTGCTACTTGGCAAATCCACCATGTTTTTTGGGACCAAGCACCACAATGCAACCGGTCCTGGATTCAGATTATTTTTGGCAGAAGGGTAGAAGAAAAGTCCAAGAACTCAAGAGAGCTGTTCCCAGCTCAATCGCAACCAATTCACAAAAGGCTCCGGCCTGATGTGTTTTGGAGGCAACCTGCAAAGTTAAGCTGGCAGGACAGCTGTCAGATTCTGGTTCTCTCTACTCAGGCAGCAAGAGCCAAAGGGGGAAGGCTGTCCTTGAGGAACCCAAGTGCAGCGCCCATCAGCCCCCAACTCAGCCAGGGAGCCCAAGGGCTGCTGTTCAAGCACGGACTCCGGGCGCTGCTGCAAGCCCAGTTCCTAGCCGAGAGGCTCCCTTCTGTCTGTCTCTTGGGAGGGGGAGGGCACTTACCTGCTCTGCATGGCCATGATGGAGAGTTTGCTTTCTCTCTCACTGGACAACACAAGTTGTACAACACTGCTCTTGCTTTTCAGGCAGGGATGCATAGTTCATTTGTCGCACAATCTCGGCAAAGAGTTCATCCACCATGGTCTTGCTCTTCGCAGAGGTCTCCATGAAGGGGCAGCCCCACTCCTGGGCCAGCGCTCGGCCTTCCGCTGACAAAACTTCCCTCTCGGACTCCAGGTCGACCTTATTCCCCACCAGGATGAGAGGAACCTTTTCGTATCGCTTCACACGGACGATTTGGTCCCTCATCGGCTTGATGTCCTGGGGAAGAAATCAAAAGTGGTGAATGCTCTCCATACTTCGAGGGGCGGCACAAGGGCAGAAGGGGGCTCACCACGCCTGCAAGGCTAACGTACTGGGCCAAAGAGCATGTTTTTCCCCAGAGGGCCCCACAGAGCATCTAATTGAAAGCTGGCCAGGCGCAATAGGTCCCAAAGGACAGTTTAAGGCAGCCATATTTGCTATAAAATATCCTAATAGAAAGGAATATTGGACTTGCGGGGTCCTGGGTGCTCTTGGAGCCGGGTGCTTTTCTTGCAGACGTTTCACAGCCAAGCTAGGGAGCATCATCAGTGCCGGTATCAATAGGGCCAGAAGGGTTCAAAGGGACGGGGGGGCTGCTGTGCCCTGCCAGGGCAGGGACCCCAGGGGCCTGAGGCAGCGGCCGGGGAGCTTTCCTGCCTCCCCCAGAGGACCCGGGTGGTCGCGGAGGCACCGTCCAGCAGCAGCTCTTCTCCCGGCTCCTTCCCTGGAAGCCCACACGGGGGGCCCTCTGGGAAGCGGCCGAGGGAGGCCCGGGCCCGGCGGGAGCTTCTCGGCTGCTGGGCTGCCCTCCCAGCGAGGCTCTGCGTGTGTTGCGGGTCTGCGTTGTGTGGCGTTGCGTTGTGTTGCGTTGGGCGGGGCTCACCTGGAAGGACTGCTGGTTGACCAGGCTGTAGACCAGGATGAAGCCCTGCCCGTTCTTGATGTAGAGGTCGCGCATGGAGGCGAACTGCTCGGTGCCGGCCGTGTCCAGGATCTCCAGCACGGAGGGCGAGCAGTCCACCTCGATCTCCTTGCGGTAGAAGTCCTCGATGGTGGGGTCGTACTTCTCGATGAAGGTGCCCGTCACGAACTGCACCGTCAGCGCCGACTTGCCCACCCCGCCCGAGCCCAGCACCACCACCTTGTACTCCCGCATGGCCCCGCGGCGGCGGGGGGGAGGGAGGAGGGGGGCTCGCCCGGGCCCCTCCCGCGCCCCCCCGACTACNGCCCCGCACCGGCCTCGCGCGCTCGCCGCCCGCCCGACCCTCGCCCAGGCCCGGCCGCCGCCGCCTCGCTCCACGGCCGGGCTGGGGAACCGCCCGCCCGGAAGAGTGCGGCAGCGGCGCTGATGACGCCACTTCCGGGCGTGGGGGAAGGGCGCCCAATTGGAAGGACCGCGCGGCGCCTGCGCCCTGCCGCCCGGCGAGGCCGTGAATCGCGCAGGGGTGGTCCCCGCTGGGCCGCTCTAGCCCTCCGCGGGGTATCTCTACGCCTCTCGATGCCACAAGTTTGAACAAAGGCTGCGCCGCCGTTGGCTGCCGGGGGCGGGGCCAGAGATGCGGGGAGGCGGTCGCTCCTTCCGGGATGGGATCGAAGAGCTTCCGATGAAAGGAAGTGGGGCTGGGAGGGGAGAGGGATGGGGACAGAGCGACGCCTTCAACGACCATGAAGAAGCAACGGCCAGAGCGGCATCTCGAGCTCTCCCGGAAATACTTGATCAATGGGGGTCACTTTCACAACGGGGAGGGGGTGGAACGGGCGGAGGGGAAAAAGTGTAACACGAGGCGGAAGCCGCGCTCAGCTGAGCGGAGCCTGTCATCTCCGGGCGGCTCGGACTGCCCGGGTTTCCGCCGCCCCGTTTGAGGAGAAGCGGTGCCCTGGCAGGGAAAGGCCGCTTTGCAGGCCCAGAGGGACTGTGGGCACAAACGTAGGAGGAAGGCTGAGGGATGGGAGACCATGAGGAGATCCCAGGGCAATCCTCAGTCTAGAAGGAAAAGCCTTTCGTCGTTTTCCTCCCCACAGTGCCTGTGGAGCCTGGCCATTCCATGGAGAGTCCCTTCTTCTCTTCTCTTGGCATCGCTGGTCCTTTGCTGCCCTTTCCAGAAGGGAAACCGAGTCAGGCTGTGATGTCCCTGGGAGGGCTGTGCAGCTTTAAAACATTCGTAACAATGGATCGAGAGCTGCTGCTCCTCCTGAAAATCCATTTAATCGTTCCCCGTGTTTCTCTTTGCTTTGCCCCATCCTTCCTGCTGACCTTCTATAACTGTATTATTACTACTATATTTTTATTCCTTTTTTTAAAAAACCCATGGTCATGACAATAAACATACCTTACAGTCCTGCTTCCTACCTGGGTCCACCCTCTATTTCCTCCTGGCCTCAAGACCTGCCGCCATCATGAACTTAAGTGCCTCTGCCCAGATTCCTTGTTGAGCTGGTGAATTTCTGAAAATATGTGACTCCTTTTTCTCTCCATTCCGGTTTGGGTGCTCAGCTTTGCTGTAAGGGCATAATAAACCCCTTTGTTACTTGGTGGGAAGAAAAGACTCTGCTTTCACACACACCCTCCAAAACTGCTTTAGGCAGGACAGGGCTTTAGGGGTGTTTGTAAATTACTGCAATAAGCCTATTACTGTTACGTACCTGGGACTCATTAAATGTTACCGGGTGTTCCTCAAAGGAAGAGGCCAAAGTAGAAATGGTACAAACATTCACTCCTATGTGTTATAAATACATTTATAAAAAGTACAGGAGTTCCAGTAGGAACATGGAAACACAGCAAGAGATTCACTTGAAAACACTTGAAATTAAGAGCATGTTCTGCACGCACACACAAGGTGCTTTTCTTAGTAGCTATACTATGTTATTGTTAAATCATTCCTAATTTTTCCTTAAGGGGACTTGGTTACTTCTAAGCTCCTGGAAAACTTTTATTCTGTCCAACAGCCACACAACTGAGCCTGCAGCACGTACAAGGAGAACATTAGCAGGAGAAATAAGCTTCAAGGAGGCCAAGGAAACGAGTGTCCAGAGTCCCATCTGGACAAGCTTATCATGTAATTTTAGCCCTGACGCAAGCATGAATGATAGTGACCAGCAAAGTTGAGGGGGGAGGAAGGAGCACTTCCGAGAAAGGTTATGCTAACAGATTGTGGGGGGTCACTTCAGTTCATCCTCTAATGACTGCTTAACTATGCAAGCAAAGCAAAGCAGACGAGCAAGGGCTGCATGCTGTGCTGCAGAATTTGGGGCAGGCTTGGAGTTATTTTGGAAGCCGGTGACCCAATGTGGATGTTGGGTCATGCATTGTTTATCTCCAATCTCCACCCTCTGTTGGACTAAAAACAATCAGGCATTTTTTTCTTTGGGGCACTGATGTGCAAAGTGCAGCCGTTACCCCCCCCCCCCCTTTGCAAAGGCATCCATCAGCTTGTCAAAACAGAATGGCTGGCAGAGAGTTGCAGGGCGTGGATGAATCCATTTTTAGCCGGGAGTGGCTGGAATTACTCAGAGCAGTGTCACCAGCTCAGCTTCTCTGCTCAGGGAAGAGACCGTTTTTCTCCAAGAACAGATCAGAGCCTATCATACTGGTCAGAGTGAAGCAGCGACTGGGGCCAAGACTAAAGCAAATTTTGTTTAGGATGCAGTTTAAATTGAATTTGGCCACTACTTGACAGGAGTCCTAATCCCAGAGGCCAAATGTGCTGATTGCTAGATTTGATTACGTTCAAATTTCAGATGACTTGCTCTTTATTAGGGCTGCTCTAGAGCTGAGTTCACACAATTACACTTAACCCAGTTACTGTATTGATCGGATGCATTTTCTACAAATCTTCATCACAGCGAATCGTAAGCTAAGCAGGTTGGATTTGCAGATCACTGAAAGCAGAAAAGCCATCAAACAAGCAGAGCAAGTTTACGAGAGACACAGCTGCAAAATCGGTTCCATACCCGAATAATGCTAAATCACAAGCCCCAAGCTGTTTATTGGCTTGGCTAAGTAAAAGAGTTGCTCTCCATATTTTTAATAATTTCCCCCTTCTCTTCTGCAAAAAAACAAACAAACAAACAAAAAAACAGTACAGGGCCCCCTCTGGCGGAGGGCATTGCACACAAGTGGGGGGGGGCTTTTCTGCAGATCCCACCATGGGAGCCTAAAGCGGGGGGGGGGGATGTTTTGCTCAGAAAGGATCCCTCCCTGGAGAATGACATGGGGAGGTTTTCCCTCAAAGCCTTCAGAGTATGGCTGGGGCCTTGTGGCTTGTTACATCTCTTCCCTTGCAGCCGTTGTCCAATTCCCTGCCTTGAAGGCCACCTTAATTGAAAAAGACACCTTCCTTATTGTGGCCTGCCAAATCCTGACACAGTCGAGAGTTTAAATAATGCACAAACGCAGGAAGCTTATAGGATTTCTTGTAACTGAGCCCTGCTGCTCGATTCCAGGGGTCAATCCTTACAGATGTCTGTGACAGTCTCTGCCCTGGTTTCAGACGTGGTTTGATTCAGCCAACAGTTGATCTGAATCAGATCAACCAACCGCTGTCTCCAAAAGGAGGATTACTGATGTGAATGTGAAACCAACCTACGGCTCCACTCACTGCACTGCAAGAATTAGGATTGTCTGGTGTGAACAATGCCAGCGCTTCTTCTCCCTCTTCGGGTCAAGGTTGGTTCCAAAGTCTTGACACCTCCAAGCAGCTGCGCAGAGGAGTGCCATGTTTGTGACGCTGCAGGCAGACTGGGCCCTGCAGGATTTCAAGAGGTAAAAAATAGGTTGCAACTTGTGACTCTGGAACAGGGAGAGCCTTTCCAACAACCCTGAGCAAAAACATTCCCCTGCCAAGGCAAATTAGGGTGGGCAGAAGTCAGGCTGGCAAAGGTGGCCTGGTCTGTTGCTTCTCCTACAATCCTGCCACTTTCCAGTCATGGTCCAATGTGAGAGACGACCAATGGTGGAAAAACCTGGAACTCTGGAACTGGCCATCAGAGATGAAGATCTGGAGAAGGACAGCCGATCTAAACCTTCCCTTTGCAGGTGGGAAACTCTAAAAAAAATCCCAATTAGCACAAGGAGGGGGCACTGAATTTTTCAATGGCACTGTCAGTAACCGGAAGTCTAAATCTCCTATCTCCATCACTCTCGTCTAAAATCTAATAATCCTGCTTCCTTTGGTGCCTCTCACTCCGTTTGACCTTGGCCATGTAAGACCAAGAGCCAGGATAGTTACCAGGCGTGAATCAAGGATCGCAACGATACACCTCGGCATTTTAATTCAGTTTTTGGGCTGATTTTAGCTTGCATTTGGCAGATTCATCCCCAAGAAGAGGTCCGCAGGACAGGATCAATTAATGGGAAGCCTTTTCCCCACCCCAAAGAGGAAACTAGATGATGGTGCATTTTCTCGGCTGCTCTTTTCAGATTGTTAAGAGGAAAATGTCAGCAGCAGAAGCATTTTTTCTGGAGCCACTGGTGCAGTAACTTTCTGGCTGCACAATTCAGAAATTGGAGCCAGACACCATTATGCTGCAGGAGCTGATCCTGCACCATTTCCGAGATCCTGCAGATGCTTCAGTTGAAAAACCAAAACAAAATTGGAGTTCCCATTTTTTAAGACCATTCAACAAATTTAAACGTTCTAGGAGAATCTCTAGACAGACTTTCCAAAATATGCAGAATGTTTCTGTCGACAGGTCCAAGGATTTACTCTTCAACATTCTTCTAGCGTCACTTTATCCTTCTTTTCTTGCTCTATTTACTTGCATGATTGTCTTGGTGTTCCTCAACAAAAGCTCTCGCTAGCACTTGGTAACGTTCAATGGAATCTTCTGGAGAAAAACTCTTAGCTTATTTGTCAAGTAAACAGATTCATCGTTTTAGACTGTGACCTTGCATTTTGTTTTTTGTTAAATGTGCAATATGGCTACAGCAACCTTTTAGCAAAGAAAGGTTAAAAAGTGGGTGGTTAGAACAGGCCAATTAGCCTGATTGGAAGACCTTAATCAAAACAGGGCTTTGCACATGAAGAAGGAAACATATATAATAATATCCCTGTCTCAAAATCTAATTTGTACACAAAGGACAATGCGGGAGGATTTTCTCTTTGGCAGATGGATATCAAGCCCATCAGCTAAATGGTCTCTTTGCTGTCACACCCC